GACCTAGCACCCGCCGACCTGGCACCCGCCGACCTGGAACCCGCCGACCTGGCACCCACCGACCTCGCACCCGCCGACCTGGCACCCGCCGGCCTGGCAGCCGCCGACCTGGATGCTAGGTCGGTGGGTGCTAGGTCGGTGGGTGCTAAGTCGGCGGGTGCTAGGTCGGTGGGTGCCAGGTCGGCGGGTGCTAGGTCGGTGGGTGCTAGGTCGGTGGGTGCCAGGCCGGCGGGTGCTGGGTGCCAGGTCGGCGGGTGCTAGATCGGCGGGTGCTAGGTCGGCGGTGCTAGGTCGGTGGGTGCCAGGTCGGCGGGTGCCACGTCCGCGGGTGCTAGGTCGGCGGGTGCTAGGTCGGCGGGTGCTAGGTCGGCGGGTGCTAGGTCGGTGGGTGCTAGGTCGGCGGGTGCAAGGTCGGCGGGTGCCAGGCCGGCGGGTGCTAGGTCGGAGGGTGCCAGGTCCGCGGGTGCCAGGTCGGCGGGTGCCAGGTCGGCGGGTGCCAGGTCGGCGGGTGCCAGGTCGGCGGGTGCCAGGTCGGCGGGTGCCAGGTCGGCGGGTGCTAGGTCGGCGGCTGCTAGGTCGGCGGGTGCAAGGTCGGTGGGTGCCAGGTCGGCGGGTGCTAGGTCGGCGGGTGCTAGGTCGGCGGGTGCTAGGTCGGCGGGTGCTAGGTCGGTGGGTGCTAGGTCGGCGGGTGCAAGGTCGGCGGGTGCCAGGCCGGCGGGTGCTAGGTCGGCGGGTGCCAGGTCGGTGGGTGCTAGGTCGGCGGGTGCTAGGTCGGTGGGTGCTAGGTCGGTGGGTGCTAGGTCGGCGGGTGCTAGGTCGGTGGGTGCCAGGTCGGCGGGTGCTAGGTCGGTGGGTGCTAGGTCGGTGGGTACCAGGCCGGCGGGTGCTAGGTCGGCGGGTGCCAGGTCGGCGGGTGCTAGATCGGCGGGTGCTAGGTCGGCGGTGCTAGGTCGGTGGGTGCCAGGTCGGCGGGTGCAAGGTCGGCGGGTGCCAGGCCGGTGGGTGCTAGGTCGGCGGGTGCCAGGTCGGCGGGTGCTAGGTCGGCGGGTGCTTGGTCGGCGGGTGCTAGGTCGGCGGGTGCTAGGTCGGCGGGTGCTAGGTCGGCGGGTGCCAGGTCGGCGGGTGCTAGGTCGGCGGGTGCTAGGTCGGCGGGTGCTAGGTCGGTGGGTGCTAGGCCGGCGGCTGCCAGGCCGGCGGGTGCCAGGTCGGCGGGTGCCAGGTCGGTGGGTGCTAGGTCGGCAGGTGCCAGGTCGGTGGGTGCTAGGTCGGCGGGTGCTAGGTCGGTGGGTGCTAGGTCGGTGGGTGCTAGGTCGGCGGGTGATCGGTGGGTGCCAGGTCGGCGGGTGCTAGGTCGGTGGGTGCTAGGTCGGTGGGTGCCAGGCCGGCGGGTGCTGGGTGCCAGGTCGGCGGGTGCTAGATCGGCGGGTGCTAGGTCGGCGGTGCTAGGTCGGTGCCAGGTCGGCGGGTGCCACGTCCGCGGGTGCTAGGTCGGCGGGTGCTAGGTCGGCGGGTGCTAGGTCGGCGGGTGCTAGGTCGGTGGGTGCTAGGTCGGCGGGTGCAAGGTCGGCGGGTGCCAGGCCGGCGGGTGCTAGGTCGGAGGGTGCCATGTCCGCGGGTGCCAGGTCGGCGGGTGCCAGGTCGGCGGGTGCCAGGTCGGCGGGTGCCAGGTCGGCGGGTGCCAGGTCGGCGGGTGCCAGGTCGGCGGGTGCTAGGTCGGCGGCTGCTAGGTCGGCGGGTGCAAGGTCGGTGGGTGCCAGGTCGGCGGGTGCTAGGTCGGCGGGTGCTAGGTCGGCGGGTGCTAGGTCGGCGGGTGCTAGGTCGGTGGGTGCTAGGTCGGCGGGTGCAAGGTCGGCGGTTGCCAGGCCGGCGGGTGCTAGGTCGGCGGGTGCCAGGTCGGTGGGTGCTAGGTCGGCGGGTGCTAGGTCGGTGGGTGCTAGGTCGGTGGGTGCTAGGTCGGCGGGTGCTAGGTCGGTGGGTGCCAGGTCGGCGGGTGCTAGGTCGGTGGGTGCTAGGTCGGTGGGTGCCAGGCCGGCGGGTGCTAGGTCGGCGGGTGCCAGGTCGGCGGGTGCTAGATCGGCGGGTGCTAGGTCGGCGGTGCTAGGTCGGTGGGTGCCAGGTCGGCGGGTGCAAGGTCGGCGGGTGCCAGGCCGGTGGGTGCTAGGTCGGCGGGTGCCAGGTCGGCGGGTGCTAGGTCGGCGGGTGCTTGGTCGGCGGGTGCTAGGTCGGCGGGTGCTAGGTCGGCGGGTGCTAGGTCGGCGGGTGCCAGGTCGGCGGGTGCTAGGTCGGCGGGTGCTAGGTCGGCGGGTGCAAGGTCGGTGGGTGCTAGGCCGGCGGCTGCCAGGCCGGCGGGTGCCAGGTCGGCGGGTGCCAGGTCGGTGGGTGCTAGGTCGGCGGGTGCCAGGTCGGTGGGTGCTAGGTCGGCGGGTGCTAGGTCGGTGGGTGCTAGGTCGGTGGGTGCTAGGTCGGCGGGTGCTAGGTCGGTGGGTGCCAGGTCGGCGGGTGCTAGGTCGGTGGGTGCTAGGTCGGTGGGTGCCAGGCCGGCGGGTGCTGGGTGCCAGGTCGGCGGGTGCTAGATCGGCGGGTGCTAGGTCGGCGGTGCTAGGTCGGTGGGTGCCAGGTCGGCGGGTGCAAGGTCGGCGGGTGCTAGGTCGGCGGGTGCCAGGTCGGCGGGTGCTAGGTCGGCGGGTGCTAGGTCGGCGGGTGCTAGGTCGGTGGGTGCCAGGTCGGCGGCTGCCAGGTCGGCGGGTGCCAGGTCGGCGGGTGCCAGGTCGGCGGGTGCCAGGTCGGCGGGTGCTAGGTCGGCGGGTGCTTGGTCGGCGGGTGCTAGGTCGGCGGATGCTAGGTCGGCGGGTGCTAGGTCGGCGGGTGCCAGGTCGGCGGGTGCTAGGTCGGCGGGTGCTAGGTCGGCGGGTGCTAGGTCGGTGGGTGCTAGGCCGGCGGCTGCCAGGCCGGCGGGTGCCAGGTCGGCGGGTGCCAGGTCGGTGGGTGCTAGGTCGGCGGGTGCCAGGTCGGTGGGTGCTAGGTCGGCGGGTGCTAGGTCGGTGGGTGCTAGGTCGGTGGGTGCTAGGTCGGCGGGTGCTAGGTCGGTGGGTGCCAGGTCGGCGGGTGCTAGGTCGGTGGGTGCTAGGTCGGTGGGTGCCAGGCCGGCGGGTGCTGGGTGCCAGGTCGGCGGGTGCTAGATCGGCGGGTGCTAGGTCGGCGGTGCTAGGTCGGTGGGTGCCAGGTCGGCGGGTGCAAGGTCGGCGGGTGCCAGGCCGGTGGGTGCTAGGTCGGCGGGTGCCAGGTCCGCGGGTGCCAGGTCGGCGGGTGCCAGGTCGGCGGCTGCCAGGTCGGCGGGTGCCAGGTCGGCGGGTGCCAGGTCGGCGGGTGCCAGGTCGGCGGGTGCTAGGTCGGCGGGTGCTTGGTCGGCGGGTGCTAGGTCGGCGGGTGCTAGGTCGGCGGGTGCTAGGTCGGCGGGTGCCAGGTCGGCGGGTGCTAGGTCGGCGGGTGATAGGTCGGCGGGTGCTAGGTCGGTGGGTGCTAGGCCGGCGGCTGCCAGGCCGGCGGGTGCCAGGTCGGCGGGTGCCAGGTCGGTGGGTGCTAGGTCGGCGGGTGCCAGGTCGGTGGGTGCTAGGTCGGCGGGTGCTAGGTCGGTGGGTGCTAGGTCGGTGGGTGCTAGGTCGGCGGGTGCTAGGTCGGTGGGTGCCAGGTCGGCGGGTGCTAGGTCGGTGATGCTAGGTCGGTGGGTGCCAGGCCGGCGGGTGCTGGGTGCCAGGTCGGCGGGTGCTAGATCGGCGGGTGCTAGGTCGGCGGTGCTAGGTCGGTGGGTGCCAGGTCGGCGGGTGCCACGTCCGCGGGTGCTAGGTCGGCGGGTGCTAGGTCGGTGGGTGCCAGGTCGGCGGGTGCTAGGTCGTCGGGTGCTAGGTCGGCGGGTGCCAGGTCGGCGGGTGCTAGGTCGGCGCGCGCCTCTAACAGTATGCCGTGCGATTGTTGGATTGGTACTGCGCTCTGGCTCTGTGTATGTGTGGCGTATAGCTCTATGTGTGGTGTGAGCAAGGCCCGGAAAGGGATCCTACTAAAGTTTGCATTGGGGATTATAGCTTGTCGCCTCGAAAGCCAACCAGTACCTCCAAGGGCCGTGCGGAATGCAATCGCGGCCTCTGCTGAGACATGGACCGGGCGTCACAATACCCACAACCCTTAGCAAATCCTTAGTGTAATCCTTCCTTGGCCAGTAATTTGTCCTCATACACGCCCGGAAGTGCGAAACTGAAACCAGTGCAGTGATAAGTCTGCAAAACACTTCTTGTGGACAGTCGAACGGTGTAACGGTCAAAGCGCATTGCCGCCCAGGGTCACGTGAACTCCCTCCTCCGTCCACTTACCGTCCTCCGTCATCCAAGTACAATTGCGGTTGTCTTCCTCTATTAGGTGTGTTGGTTGGTACTCGTTACACCCCAATTCCGTACAATCCAGCGTCCTTACCCTTGCTGCATCTATTGCTGCACACATAGTCCTCGGTACATCAGCTGCTGGGAGGTGCCTGCTGGAGTTAGCGGGGGAACTATCCGGCCGAACCTCAGCTGCCTCCACGTCCCGAGTCCAAACGGCCTTCGCCGTCCGAGTGTTTAACTCTGCCTGCTTGCAATGGCCGTTGTAGTAGACCTGCAGTACAGGTGTCACGCAATGACTCGTTAACTTCTCCCTTAAGCCCCTGTGTGTCAGCGGTGTGTCAACAAAAACCTGGCTGCGAAGAAGCGGCGGTGTGCGCAACACACCTCCTCCTCCAGGCCTGAAACCACCCTTATCTTACTTTGCTGCTGCCGAGGCGGTGCTGCCACAATGGCTCACCACCGCGCCGATACCTCGACAGCACACCGAGGCCGCAGGGCCCTCACCCTCACCCTCACACAGCGCCCGCATTCCCCGGTTGGAGGGGCTCGGGGGATCGGGGGATCCACATGGCCTCACATAACCGAATGAATGACCGTTACATATACCGTTATAAGCGGTAATACATGACCGTATTGAACAGCGGCCGGGAGGCAGCTCCAGCGGCAGCAGCACATGCATCGTGACCCGGGCGAAGCGACCGCCAACCGTCAATGGCACTCTCCTCCTCTTTGTTTTGCCTCTGTTTTGCTTGTACTTGCGGTTCACATGCGAACCTATCCCAACTGCTTGCTCTTGTTTCCGCTCAACTACACACCGTCAAGACATCCATATGCGAAGTATCCTCAGTTAACGGCCGCCACCACCACCATACAACCGCCGTCACTGAAGCATGTGCGAACTGTATACCCGCCCTATCGTATCTTCGCCTCCTGCTGCTCTGCCTCCGTGCAGGTCATGCAGTACTCTCCTAAACGTCAAAATTCCAGACGGAGCACAGGCCCCGACACCGCGCCAACCTGCTGCACTGCACAAGCAGCCCAACCGAAACCACAACCACGCGCACACACGCGGCCAATCCTCTTAGCACACACACGCACAGTACGTGTACTCGCGGCCAGTTTTCTTAACGCACAGTACGTTCCGCCTCGCGGCCAGTTATTTTAACACACGCACATGCACCTCCTCCTTCTATACCTTTGATTGCCCTCGTTCGCCCCCTCCCCCTTTACACCCCGATACCACGGCTGCACTCCAAATTCGCAGCCCTCTCTCGTGCTTATGCAAATCTGATTGGCACACGCACAACACACAGTCGCGGTCAGTTTCCAAGACAGACACACCATGCACAAGGTATGCGGCCGTGTGTTTTCTTAACATACGGCCAGCTTTGCTCAACACGCAGCCAAACGGCGCCTTCTATCATAACCAAGGTCAACACCAGAGTCAACACCAGCATCAGTTTTGCCTCTCGTCAGTCAATTTGATACCCTCGGGCGGGCTTGCCTCCACAGGCGCCCCCTCAACCCGCAGCAAGCCCCCGCAATCCCTCCTGGGAGCCTAGCCGCTTGGCAACCAAGCAGCCAGCCAGCCAGCCGCTGACACATCCCCCATCCCCCTCATCCTTCTCTTCCCCCTCACGGAGCCGCCCCTCAACCCGCCGCAACTAGCCAGACAGCCAGCCGCTGACATGTTCCCCATCCCCCTCACGCCAAGCGGTTGGGGTTGCCCTCTTCCTCGTCACACACCCCCTCACGCCTTGGCATGCTTTGTGAGCCACTCCAGGGTTACGTTAATGTTGTGCTGGCGCTTGCAGCTGATGCTGTACACCGCCACCTCGCGGTCGGCCAGGGACTGGGGGGGGGGGAGGAGGGGGGAGGGGGGGGCAGAAGAGGGCCCGATGAATTACTGGCCGTGACCACAGGACGACGCGGGGAAGACGCGGGAAAAGGAGTGTATAGTAGGATGAATTGCCCCACTCCAGTACACCCCGCGCTTAGTTGGTCTCTCCCTCGTCACCCCCCCTCCTGCCCCCCACCCCCCAGCTCGTTAGTTGCCTCGTCGCCCCCCCTCCTGCCCCCCACCCCCCACCTTGAGGTTCATGGCGTCCGACAGCTGTCCCGCCGACAGCGCCCCGGGCAGGTCGTTCTTGTTGCCCAACACCAGCAGCGGGATGCCCTGAGGTGAGGTGGGGGGGGAGGGGAGGGAGGAAGCGCGAGATGAGGTGGGGGGGAGGGAACCCATGCATTGGTGGTATAGTGGGTGTTAAGTCACATTCCTGGAGAATGATACAGCTACACACTCATGTGGCGTTTCTGTGGGGAACTTCATTTTTCCGACAATCACAGTACGTTCCGACCCGCGGCCAGTGTTCTTACCGCACACCACTCGCGGCCAGTCTTCTAAACACACGCATGCACGCACACCTTGAGGCTGGGTTTCTCCAGCAGTCCGTGCAGCTCCCTCGCCGCCGCGGGCAGGTTGTCCAGGTCCGCCGAGTCCACCACGAACACGATGGCCTGCACTCCGCGGCAGTAGCGCTCCCACAGGTTGCGGAAGCGCTGCTGGCCTGGGGGGGGTGGGCGTGGTGGTGGGGGATGGTGGGCGTGTGGTAGGGGAGAGGGAGATGGTGGGCGTGTGGTAGGGGAGATGATGGTGGTGGGGGGGGGGGATTAGGTAAACTGAGCCGCGAGGAAACACTGACCGTGACCATAGGGAGGGTGGGAAAGGTAGAGGGGTGGATGGGAGGTGGGGAAGGTGGGGCGGAAGGTGGACCGGAAGGTGTGAGGGTAGTGGTAGGACCACCCAACCCTGCCCACCTGTGTTTGCATGGACCTTACCGTGTGTACTCCCACGCTCCTCCCTCCCTCGGTGGCGGTGTGACTGTGCTCCTCCCTGCCCCCCACATCTCCCACATCCCACACCCCACATCCCACACCCCGCAATCCCCTCCCACACCCCCCGCATACCTCCTTTCCCACACACCCCTCCGCACCTCCCAGGTCCCACATCTTGATGGTGACTCCGCCCTTGGTCATCTTACGCATGTTGAAACCCACCTGGGCGGGGGAGGGAGGCGGGGGCGGGAGGGGGTGGGGGAAGAAGAAGGAGGCGGGATCAGGGGAGGCGGGAGAGGCGGGGAGGGGAAGAAGAAGGAGGCGAAATGAGGGGAGGCGAGGAGAGGGATGCGCAGAAGAACAACCCAGGAACAGGCGGGAAAGGGGCGAGGGGAGAGGCAGGTGGTACATACAACTGACGTGAAGGGCAAGGGGACATGCAGCAAGCAGCAGGGAATGCGGTTGTGACTCGAGGTCCGCGGTTGCGGCGGGTGTTAGTTAGTTGGTTGGGATGCCCGTGAGAGCTGGCACTTGCCGTGGGTATCATGTCCTCCTGATACTGCCCGGTCGTCAGCACTTGGACGAGCGTGCTTTTGCCTCCCTTGTTCAGTCCGACTAAACTGAGCTCCATTTCTCGCTTGAAAAAAAGGGAGCGCAGCCAGTCTAGGAGGCCGGTGAGCCATGACCAAATCCCGGTTGGAGGCGCCATGGGCTCCTTGATACGAAGGCCTCCTAGAGGTTGCTTTTGCGGTTACTGTTGGAGATTAGCTGAAAGAAGTGCTCGCCTATCACGACAGTTGTCCCAGGACTGTTGCCTTCACGTGCTAGAGCCTTCACTGAAAGACAACTTGGTATCTGTACAGTTGTTCCTACTACTAGCTAGTAAAAGCAAGGGTGCAAGGCACGGCAAGCGCCAGGAATGCTACAAAGTACAAGTAAAGCAACACAATTCTAACAACTAGCCCGCTGCTAGCACGTAGAAAGTAAGGGTAGGCACCGGTGTATACAAAATGCTTGTCCTTAAGACCGGATGTCGAGCAGGGTGAAGATCGTCCAACCCAATGACGTGCTTTACCTGAGGCCCTGTTGGTCATCCCGCCGATCATATTCACTTCTATCCCAGTTGACACATTTCTGTTTTCAGGTTTAATCACATATAGGTCACATTCAACGTCTAAGGATACGAAGGAGTGCCCGACCTCAGATCGTTTTTCACATTTGCACCTCCTTAGGCGTAAACAAGCAGATCACTCGCAATGGCTCTACAAGAGGCAACACAATTGTTTGACCGCTTCAAGGTGTGCTTTTGCGACTTTGAGGCGCTTTGGTGGGACGAACCTGCTTAGTGGACTGCACATGAATGCAGGAAGCGTTCGGAAAGGGTGATCTGAGCTCAGCAGAAAGCACTCTAAGTCAAATCAAGGTAAGGGGCTTCAGCTTCAGCCGCGCTAATCGCAAAACATCCTGCCTAGGGTGCAATCCCAACCCTCTCCCCGATGCCATCCCGAATCCCCACAGCTTAAACTCGTTCAGCTTCCAGCGCTCCCGCCAACCTTCGAGCAGAGCCCCACTGCGCAACAGGAGCTCCTGCTAGGACGTAAGTTTGTGGTGGGGAGCTGGGGGGGAAGAGAAAGAGGAAGAGGAAGACCGAGTTGGTAACGAGGATGGCGGGAGCCCGGTAGCTGGGTTATAACCCAGCTACAACCACCGCCGCTGCTGCAATCCAGCAGCAATAACGAGGATGGCGGGAGCCCTAACTTCCTCCCCCCTCCACACCCCAGCTTGTGTAGAGTACCCAACTTATATTTACTTCCCCCCATCCCGTCTGGGGTCAGTGTTTCCGTGGCTCAGCTTATCCAATCCCCTCTATCCCCACTGCTTTGCCCTAACCTGTGGGTTTGGTATACCTCTCTTATCCCTGACTCCCCCTTCCCGGCCCCCCCCCCCAGGCGAGGTGTTGGAGCAGGCGGTGCTGCTGGCGCTGCAGCGGGGCGAGGAGGGCGCCATGGAGCGGGCCTTCGCGCAGCTGAGGACCTTCTACGATGACACGCGGTGGGAGGGGCTGGGGCGGGGCGGGGAGGGAAGGGCATATGCTACCATGGCTACCATGGCAGGCGGTGGGGTAAGCGAGAGAGGAAGGAAGCGTATACGATACCTCGACATGCGGTTGGGTGGGTGGGTGGGGGGTTACGAAGAGAAGACCTACGCTGTGGGAGGGGTAAGTTGAGGCCTGGGGTCAGGGGCGTGGCAATACGGCTATTTGCGCTGTCTTGCCCCAACCCCTGGCTGCATGCACATCCCGCACGTACCCTCCACTCTCTCACGCCCGCCCCCTCCCTCTGCCCCTTGGTGAAGCCTCATCACACAGTTCGTCAGTTTCCTTTGCTTTATCCCCCTGCCCGTCCCCCCCTCCCCCCCCCCCGCAGTTCCCTGCTGCCCCCCTCCGCCTCCGAGACCTCCATGCAGGGCCTGAACCTGCTGCGGCTGCTGGTGCAGAACCGCATCGCGGAGTTCCACACGGCGCTGGAGCTCATCCCGCCGGAGGTGGGCGGGGAAGAACGGGGGGTGGGGGGAAAGGTGGGGGAAACGTGTGGGTATGTGTATGGGGCGGGGAGGACGAGGGAGGGGAAGGGGAGTTCCACACGGCGCTGGAGCTCATCCCGCCGGAGGTGGGGTGGGGGGTGGGCTAGGGAAGGGGGCCTAAGAGAGGCCTACTCATCGTGCCCCACAACGCGGGCAACGCAATGGGGATAAGCGGCGGGTTGCACACGCATCTGAAACCCATCTCCGCCCTTACCTCCTCCCCTTCCCCCCCCTCAGGCCCACTCCGACCCCGCCATCCAGCAGCCCGTACAGCTGGAGCAGTGGCTGATGGAGGGAGCCTACAACAAGGTGCTGGCCGCCTCGCAGGCCGGTGCCTCGCAGGTGACGGGGCTGCTGCTGGCGCAGCTGGCGACCACCGTCAGGTGAGGGGGAGGGAGGGGGAGGGAGGGGAAGGGTGGGGGGGGCGTGGGCTAAAAAAGCGGAAACTGACGAGCTGGATGACGAGGGGGGCCGGAAATGAATGAGAAGCGAAGCAACAGGCTTGCCGCTGCTCCTGGCGTTTCACCTCCTCACATCGTGTGTGCTGTGTCTGACACCCTTGCGTCCCTGTCGCCCCCCGCCCCCTCCACCTTCACCGACCCTCACCTCGCGCCTCCCTCAGCCCTTCCCTCCGCCAACTGGGTGTTCCACCCTAGAACTGCCAATGTCGTTCGCTGCATGCCGGTCTCCTTCCTTTCTCCCCTTCACCCCTCCCACCATGGGGGTTTCGTGGTCTGGTATGCCACCCTCATTCAACACATTGGGATTCTTCCCTTCCCACCATGGATGGTCCATTTCCTCCTCGCTACCCAACCCGCACCCCTCCCTCCCGTTCCCCCCCTCCGTTGCTGCACTTACCTTTTATCCCCCCCCCTCAGGGACGAGGCCGCCAGCTGCAGCGAGCGCGCCTACGAGCGGCTGCGGCTGGCGGATGCCGCCCGGCTGCTGCTGCTGGAGGGGGAGGGGGCGGTGCGGGAGTACGCGGAGCAGGTGGGGAGAGGGGCGCGATTCAAAATAGACCAAACAATGGGAAACCATGATTGGGTAAAACTACCGTAGGGGGAGGGGTAGGTGGAGGGCAAAAACATAGTGTAGTAGTGGATTTAAGGTGTGGAAGTCCTATGTTTTCTTATTTGAATGAGCAAATGGGGGCTGGGGACCGGGGTTAAAGAGAGGACCACGCGGACTTGCGCGGATTAACCACTGCATCCACTGCACGCCCACCACCGCCCTTTCCATGCAGCACGGCGGGTCGCTGTTCTCCGCTTTCCTAAGCTCCTTTTCTGTCCTTTTGATTCTTTTGACCCCATCTTCGCCTCTCCCCACTCTCCCCCCCCCCACCCCGTCATGTTTGCACCCCATGGTGAAGCCTACATGTCATACAGCTCGTCATCAGTTGCATCGTCAGTGTCTCATTATAATTTCTACCCCACCCCGTCCCCCCCCCATGCAGCACGGTTGGACGCTGTCCCCCGAGGGCGACATCATCTTCCGCCCCTCCACTAACGGCACCCCTGCCACCACCACCACCGCTGCCCCCGCTCGTGCTGCCGGTCTGCCCTCCCTGGAGCTCATCAACAACGCGCTGGTGTATGCCAAGGAACTGGAGCGGATAGTGTGATGAAGTGATGTGGCATGATGTAATGATGTGTTTTGAAGACAGTTATAGGAGGAGCGGATAGTGTGACGCAATGATTGGGTTTGTAGGACAGACAGTGGAAGGTTGGTGTGTTTGTAAGACGGGCAGTGGTAGGAAGAGCGGTGAACGGAAAAGGGGGACTGGCAGAGTGTAGGGGGGCGGATAACGGTAGGTTCCCCTTAACTGCCGATGCAAAGGACGGGAGGCGGTTACATAGGTAGCAGGCGGCGGCGTGTGGGACCACAGGGGGGGGTTGAGGGGGCAGGGTAGGCGGGGGGACGAAGGGGTGATGGGCGGATGGGGGGGATTGGCGTACAGGTAGCGGGGGTGTGGGCGGTGTGCTGCTTGCAGTGTGTGGGTGCTGCAAAGGAAAGGTGGGTGCGGGCTGGTAAGTGGCATCCAGGAAGGAGAGGGGAGGCTATTGTCGTACCTCTGCCTCTTAAGGCTAGATCCACATCCGTCCTGAGATGTTGGTCTGCGTGGACTCGAGCTCTAGCAGCGTAACCGAAGCAGCATCACGGAAGTCCGTATCCAGGAGGTTTCTGAAGTAGTTGAGCGTGCCCATGTGCTCGTGATGGCTTGGTGTCAGACACTCTAGGGAACAAGAGCGAGCTGGCTCCTCGACTGTTGGATCATACATAGCCGTCGCCGGGACTTCGTACCTAGCTGCCTGGAAGTGATGTGTAAGACAAGTTAGATACCTCTTTCATCAGTACTACCTAAGGGTATGCGTGCCTGTACGGCAGGGTCTTGACCCCGATCCGGCCATGTGTGCGTGAGTTTGTGCAAGCCGCGAAGTTGGGAGACCCAATCCCAGCGTTGCCCCTGGGCATATGCAGGCTGTCATTGCATACCCCGAATGACCAACCCTAGACACCCCAATGAGGTACCGGTACGTGTCACTTGGCTTTCTTGTGCTACCTGAAGGCGCTACCTCTCCCCTTTACCACCTCCCCGCGTGCATGCAAAGAACGCACTTGCGACTGACAGCTGCTACCCGTTAAGCACGAATTCTGACTTGTACATTAAGAACAATTACCAAGCAGCGATAGACGGAGGTATACCAATTGCTTGAATGGCTTTCATCCCTGGGTATCGGCATGTGTAGGATGCGGCGTTGATTACCAGCTTCGTAGTACGACCTTCAACTGTACAACTTTCGAGCCTAGATAGTACCTCTAGGAGTAACGGAAGACTGTTTGGCTGATCACTTTCGTGACGAACGTGGATGATTGCGCTATTGTTACCGTTGTTTGCGGCGTGCTTCGCGGCTGCGGCTGCAAGCACGCCGCTGGTGCTAGTTGATAGCTTGCAGAATGCCTATGTGCAGCCTGGGACAGCGCTGTCTCTGGACAAGTCATCCGTGTCGGCTCTGGTGGCCGCGGCAACTGGTTTGATGCCGGGCTCTGCGATCGGTGCTGACCTCTCCCACGAGGTAAGCAATAACCTTGGCTTCTTATTGAAGATGTTTAAAGTCTATAAGTATTAGGCTTTGCCCGCCGCAGCTATCTCAAATCCTCAAGCCAAGCCCATTGGTGAAGCCCAGGGCCTTCGTCGCTCTGAACGTCGCTGGTCTAACCACCGGTATGTTGGTTTCTTGTAACCTTAAAGTTGTATCCAATAGCCAATTAGGATTCCATATGCAGATGTGCTGGGAGAGCTCTTTGCAAATCGCCAGCACCGGACCGTGGAGCTGACAGGCAATGGCTGCTCCGCCATGGCCGTCATCAATGGCCTCAGCAGCGTGGCAGCGGCAAACCCGAGCGCAAAGCTGGTCGTGGTTGACCAACTGGGGGTGCAGGTGGGAGCATTGTAATGCAGAGCATGCGGGGGCTTCTCAAACCCCTTACCAAATACCAAACCTCCTCCATCTATGGTGCCGTGCCGTGTAGAACTGCAAGGACGACTGCATGAAGCAGCTCGTGGCCGGCGCCGTGGAGGACTGCCAAATGGACATGAGCAGCCTGGACCTCACGCAGCAGGAGGAAAAGCTCTTTTCCGTGGAGCTGGCCACCGTGTACTCTGGCATTAAGGCCCAGCTTGCCGCCGTACAGAAGCGCTCAGAGCTGAAGGTGGCTCAGGAGGAGGTGGAGGTGTACGAGGTGTCCCTCATGGGCCTCCGCGCGCTCATCAACAAGTACGGCCAGGACTCGCCCGAGGTGTCCGCGGCCAAGGCAGCCGTCATGCAGCTGCTGGATTGGGCGGTGAACAGCCTGGACGCCGCCTATGCCGGCGACATCATGTACCAGGTAAATCCTGGTATATCCTCCTGGATATATCATAGTTGGACGCATGGACTGAGTTTCCTCTGCCGGAGGAGGGGTACCGGTATGTGTGGCGAAGCTCAAGCCTGGCTGGGCCCTTGCGGGCGCCCCGGGCTCATACGATGGGATGGGATGAGGATAGGCGGGGCCTGCGCCTTCCTGGGGCGCATGCGGCATGCGCTGAGCATTTAGCAGAAGTAACACCCATGCATGTCCTCCATGTCGTAAGCTGGGTTGCGCTCTCCTGTTCCCCCCGCCCCCAGGTTCTGCCCCTGCAGAAGGCGCCCCAGCAGGCGGAGACCCTGTCGCAGCTGGCGGGCTGGAAGGACCGCACTCGGAGGCAGCTGCTGCAGGGTGAGTCTGTTTGGGATGAGGTCAGAGGGCGAATGCCATTGGTTGCTAGACACAAAGCAGCTACCGCAACCTGATAAGAGGTGGAAATGGCTTGACGTTTGGGACGAGAAGCGCAGCGCTCTGGGAGTTATTTTCTATATTCCTTTCCGGCATGTCACGACTATGATGACTGCTGCTGCTGCTCTCTTACGCCGAGCATGAATCACCCCCCCTTTCCGCCCATCCTCCACGCCATCACCGCAATACCTGCGCAGCTTCCTACCCCGGTACCGTGGACGAGGAGACCGCTGCCGCCAAGCTCTTCTCCGCCAAGGCTGCCGGCTACGGCTCCTTCGTGCTGCTGCTCTACTTCTCCGCGGCCGCCATTTGGTGCATGTGCAACATGCCCTTCAAGCGGGACACCCTTCTGTACGGCAGCAAGAAGGATCAATAAGCAGATCAATATGCATTTGGGTGTAGCCCGGGTGGGCTGGGATGTCAGCGTTTGGGGGTTTAGTAGGTAGGGCGGCACATCGGTTCGGCGTGCCCGGGGTAGGTGTCGTGGGGCGGGAACAGGGTGGCTTGAGCTGTGGCTACGGGTAGGCTATGACACACAGCATGGTATGTTATGGTCTTTTATAGACGTGGGTACAGGGAAAGGGGCTTTCTAACATGATTGCGTATGGCTGCATGGGAAGTGAAGGGGAACTAGAGGATCGCGATGGAGGTAGTTGTTACAGAGCTGAGGACATAGCTGGTGTATGGGTGGCTTCCGGGGGGGCGATGTGTTGAAAGCGCTATCAGACGCAGGCTGTAGATCTGTTTTCAAAATCTTCTGGGAGGTTTGTGTGCATGGGCTGTCGTGTTTCCCGTACGTGTAGCCGCCAGTAGGGGGACCGGGGACTACTGCCTGACATTACTTCTACTGCGTGCGTTTTGGGGGCCCTTTCAGGACACTCGTGTTTGGTGCTCATACCTCGGGTCGTGGTCTTTGAACATCTGTAACTGTGTTGGCGTTTTTGACGAGGAAATAGTCTTTGGACACGCGCCTGGGTTACTGTGAGGCTCGGGTCTCCACTGGCTGCCCAACATATGCAAGCGACCACCCCTCCTTCATTCCAGAAAGGTTTAGGATCTGAGGTTCAATTGCGCTATTGCTGGTATGGAGTTCCAGACCCATGGTTCTGCCAGCGGGCTTTAGGATGATCTTGGTCCATCAGTTACATTCCCTCGGTTAAGCTGCCAATAGGGCAATTTGTATAAAAGGGATACGAATCATTGGTTAGACAGATTGGTTCCGTATTCGCTTCAGTACTTCACACGCCATAACAGACGGATCAACAATAAAATTTACCAAAACAACCTAAACATCTAATTACGCGCACGGCATTACGCATCCAAATGGGCGGCACTACGTTTCCAGTGCCTATGTATGCCTAGTCACTGCAAGTCTTATATACATCCATACAACAGAAACCACAAGAACATGTCAGGTCCTTGTGCTATTCGCTAGCACCTGTCTCAACGTCACAAGGCTGACACGAACTGACTTGACCGAAACTCACTTGACCTCCCAGTACGGAGAAAGCCATACCCGCACCCACCCTAAACCAACATCAGGCCACAACAAAACGCATTCCAGTCACTTATCAAGTATGGAACAACCCCACTCCTTTTCCTAGGGGATAGTAAGGCCCTTTTATTCCAAGGGGCACGCGAGTGAAGGGCGACGAGGGTTTAGTTGGCTGGAGCGTCCAAAGGCTCTACACCGCAACCACTTGGGCATGGAAATTTACTTCTTTGTTTTCCAACTTGTTTTTGTCGTCTTTACTTGCGCTGCCGCAGAGCGCTGTTGCTGCCCCAGCCCTGCCACTGCAGTCAGCTAGGGTGTGGCAGGGGTGTCGCCTTTCCGTGTGACCGAGCGGATGGGACTTGACGACCTGTAGCGCAGGCTGCCTGCACCTGCAGCGATGGGAATGACGGGCATGAGGGGAGTTTGGGGGTGGTTGCGTTACATGGCTGGATGCGTCTGACGTGCGAATTCCGAGAACTAGGAGCAACAGCAGCAGATCAGCATGTAACAGAGCACCCCCGCGCTCTTTAGCACACCCCTTAAACCGCGGCAGCCAGGCCCCCCTCCCAAGCAACCAATTCCCTGGCCAGTGCTCTAAAGGCCGCCCCCAAGCAAAACCGCTCCCAAGCAACCGCCCCCAAGCAACCTCCTCACTTGATGACACCCGCTGTCGTACGACGGTGACGCTCAGCTGCACCCGCCGACTGGCCTCCTGCATCTTGATGCGAGCCACCTCCACGCCCCGACGGAGCGCGTCCATACCCTGTGCGTGCAGCAAAAGCGAGGACAAGAGCGCTTCGGCGAAAGCAGGGGAGCAGGAGAGGATGATGAGGTCACAAAGTGCAGCATGGGTGCTTGTTTGTGGTAGCATGCATGCTGTGTGTGAAGCAGCATGGGGGCATGAAGGCAGCAGCGGAAGTCATGCGTGCGTGCGTGCGAACAGCGGACTCGCGGGAACCGACGCCACGATTAACCCAAGGCTGCTGGTGAGTCTGTGCTAATTGGAATGAAAAAAGCCCCGGGCGCTTAAATCTATTAGGTTTGTGTCGCCCCAGCACATGGCTTACGTGTGTTGCCATCATGTACACAAAGTAGACGAGGATGCCGATGTTGAGGAAGAGGATGACGGCACCGATGGCGGAGGCGGCGACCTGCGGGCGGGAGGTGGGGGGGTGTTTCACAACAGACCAAACCATAGGAAACCACGAAGTAGGGCAGAATAATGGGGGGTCAAAGACCAAACCGGCAGAAGAAGGTACAGCCAGGGTTCCCAGGGTGCAGCAAGCACCCTCACGTTGGGCTGGGAAGTGTGGCAGCACGTGTGTCTTGCCACGATACAGCTCCCGCATGCAGCTCCCGCACACAGCTCCCGCACACCGCAAGCCAACCCCGCCAACTAACCCCACGTTCTCCATGCATCACCAGATTCATGCCCCCCATCCCTCCTACCGGCGTGATAGGGTCCTTCCGGTCGGGCGGCGGCACGAAGAACAGCCCCAGCGCCACCGTGAACGCCAGCACCGCCAGTGACAGCGCCTGCATGCGCTCAAGCAGCTCGTGCTTGAGCGGCCGGAAGTACATGTTGGACCACATGACCAGCAGCAGGGCCAGCTGGGGGGGTGGGTGGGTGGGTGGGAGAAGGGGGGGAGAAGGGGGGGAGAAGGGGGGAGGAAGGGACGAGGGAGGGAGAGGGAGAGCACGGGCGGTAAGGAAAGTGGCGGCAACCCTTGGTGAATGGGTTGGGTAGAAGGGAGATGGGATCGGATGGCGCTGCAGGGGCAGGTGCGATGTCGACAACGCTACAGAGGGGGCATGAGCACTGTGCTACATCCGTGTGCAGGACAGTCATGCACGCCTGCGACATGCATCCCCCCCCATGCATGCATGCATGCACCCCCATGCATGCATCAGCTCCCCCCCTCACCATGTGTAGCACCCCCTGCTGCTCCACCACCAGCACCCGCCCGAACACGTCCACAATCACCAGCACCAGCGTCTGCAGCTGCAGCATGGCCTCCCACCAGTACTGGGCGGTGCTGTGGGGGGAGGGGGGAGGGGAGGGTGGTTGGAGGTACGGTAGGGAGGGATGGTACTAAGAGGAGAATGGAGAGAAGAGCACACGCTAAACAAGGGCGCCCGGGCCCCACGGCGGCCCTTAGCTGGTCACAGACAGCCACAGAACGTGCGACTACCGGTATATCTTCTTGCACTGGAATACGTTAGTAGCTGTCACATTCATTCAGATAAGCTGGTACCGGCAGTAACCAACTTGCGTGAGCCCTACATGCCGCCTAGACACGCACACGGGAGGCTTACTTGTATCTGCGGTACAGGAATCCGTACGTCTGCGCCACGTGTACGGTGTGCAGTGCCGTACGGTGCCCCCACGTGACCATGAAGTTCAAAAAGGGGATGCCCAGACACACCAGGATGATGCACGTGATGCCCAGCGGCACCCACACGCGGGAGTGCTCGCCTGCAGGGGATGTGATGCAGGGTTGAGGGGGTGGGGTGGGGTCGCGGAATTTGGGACTTTCTTTTTGGACGACCAGGGAATACGACTGAGCATACAAGCTTCCGTACACTCATATACTCTGTACACTGTACATGACTGTATACTGCACATGCATGCCAAAGCACTAAAACCCTATTCTAGTCAAACCCTGGTCAGGCTCAATCTCCTCCCCTGCCCTGCTGGCCGTGCCAAGTGCAGCAGCAGTAACAAGCAGCTGCCGAACTGGCGCAAACAACTCAGCACACAGCAGTTGCCCCCCTAGCAAGCATGCAGCTGTTGTCGTACCGCTATAGCACTCCTGGTTCATGTTGAGGATCCAGTAGCCGTGCGCCCCCTGAGCCAGCTGGTATTCGGGGTAGGAGCCGTCGCCCTCGTCCAGATAGTAGCACGCAAAGATCTGCAGCGAGGCCTGCGCGGTGTGGCGGTGGAGGGGGTGGTGGAGGTGGTGGTGGTGGTGGTGGTGGAGGGGGTGGAGAGGAGGCAGCCAGCGCAGGGGGACGGGATGTGGGCACGCAGTGGGTTTGGAAAAGCAAATTGAAATCTGTTAGTCGCAACGAGGCATGCATCCGTGCATGCACGCAGGCAGGCAGGGAGGCACGCATGCAGGCACGCGCGGGGGTGGGGTCACGGCAGGCATGCAAAGCGGGGGGTTGCCTGATGACAGTTGTTGCTGCTCTGAAACTGCCGCCCCCACTGCAGCCAGTACATATACCCTACACAAACCAATAACCGTAAACCGGTATATGCCTGCCCCGATCAACCCCTCACACCTGCGCCCATGCGGGGTAGAGTATGAAGCAGGCAATCATGACCACCAACAGCTCCTGGCGCCACCAGGTCATGGTGCCGTCGATGTTGGCCAGGGAGGCCCACCGACCCTGGGGGGAAGGGGGGGAGCAGAGGGGGGGCAGGGGGGGGGGGCAGGGGGGGAACCATGCTGTCAATGACGAGGGCAACCAGTGAGGGTTAGAGAATACACCCGGAAGGGGGGGCAGGGGTCAGGGAAACACCAAACCACACGATACTGCTGAGGGCTGAGGGGATGGGAGGGGAAGGAAACCGGGACGGAGGGTCAGTACACTTTTGAATAGCACCCGCAGTGTAGAAACTGACATATGCATGTTCTGCAAGATTCAAAAGGCTCTGCGCCCAGCCGTCCCCGCCCACTCGTACCTCTTCCGCTCCATCGCCCTCCTCATCGTACGTGAAGAACTTCTGCACCCAAACGCGACCGGAGCTCAGCACAGTGCGCCAATCGGGAGCTGCTCCTCCGCCGCTGCCGTCGCCCGCATTCCCGCTCCCCTCGTTCCCCTTCTCCCCGGCAGCCTCGCCCTCCTTGAATCCTCCTCCGCCTCCGCCTGCCTCCCCCTCTCCGGAACCCCTGCTTCCCTGCCGCCGGCCTTCCTTCTCCTCCTCCGCTTCCTGCTTCCCGCCTTCCTCCTCCACCACCTCCACCTCCCCAGAGCCTCTCCCCTTACTGCCGCCATCCTTCCGCGAATCACCCAAACCGTCTGCTGCCGCCTGCTCAGCAGCCCCAGTCCCGGCTGCAGCCTTGGCCGCAGCCTTCAGAGGGATCGTCACGAGGGACTTATCCGCATCAACAGGAGCAGGAGCCGGAGGGAGCGGGGCGGCGGATGGCGGCAGGGGAGCAGGCGGAGGCTCTGGCATGCCGGGTAACCGTTGCCGGCTGGCATGTATTCCCGCCGTCTCCTGACGGGGATGGCTGCTGGGTTGCTGATGACCGGCTAGCGGCCGCACCAGCGCCAGCGCCTCAACCACCTCCACAGCCACCTCCTGGGAGGCTATGGGGCGGTCCGGCTCGGGCTCGGCTCCTTGGACCACAACACACACATGGCGCTCGGAATCCGGACCGTTGGTGGTGGTGGTTGTATCGTCTGTCGGGCCGCTGCTGCCAACGGATTTGAGGGTGCCGTCGCCTGTTTGCCTGTTGTTGCCGGCAATGCTGCTGCTCGATGGTCTGCGGGAAGACACGACACGAGAAGGGAAATGGCGATTGTGGGGCATGGAGCTGCGTCAGATGGATGGCTACATGGGGAAGGTCGTCAAGAAGCCGCAACAGGTTACTAATATAGGGTATTACTGCACATAGTAAACCGCAAGGAAAACACAAACACGCCCCGCACAGCATCCACGTAATCACCTCTGGGAGTTGGGGCGCCCTTGCTCGCTACGTCGGCGGGATGTGGGGGTACGTTCCACAGCGGATATCCTGAGATCCAGGGGCTCAAAGTCCTCATCGTCTTCGTACGGCAGCCGAACGACCCCCTCCCCCTCGTCCTGCGTAGTATCATTCATACGGCAAAGTACGGCAAAATACGGATCCAACGAATGAGGAGGGCAAAGAGAGACGTCTGAATGTTTGGCGCTGACTTGTTATCACCGATATCACGTTACGGCAGTGGCATCGTACTGCACCGATGTTTACCTGGCATGTGATGATCAGCGTTGCCCACTGCCTCATCAAGTTTGAATGTTAAAAACGTATAATTAACGTAACCCAGGGGCAAGAGATACGGCTCCGCAGCTGTATAGGCCAAGTGCAGGAGCAGGTGCGTGACCGTGCTGGTTGGTCAGCCCCATGCAAGCCCTAGCCGTCTGCCCACCATCCCTCCCGACCGCACCTTGGACCGACGTTTGGTGCCCTGCTGCTGCCTGGCCCTCTCCCGTCGGAACTCTTCAATGGTCCGCATGTCCAGCTTTTTCTGTGTGGGTTAAGACAAATACACACGCAATGCAATTGATGTGGCACGCGATGTGACAGCAGTTGACGTAACACACATACAGTAGCATAGTCAGTGTTAGCTGTGCAGCCATTTGATTTGCCGCCCCCACCTCCACCCCCACCCCACCTCCACCCCCACCCTCACCCTCACCTGGGTCAAGGTCGTCTTGCGCGTGTTGAAGAGTGCGTACCTGCATGTGCGTGCAGTCATGCCGGTGGTCACCGGGAGCTAGTAAGCGTTATTAGTAATTGGTCACATGCAAATAGCGAGCGGAATCGGAAACGGCGGCGGCAGCGAGCGCGTTCAATCGCCCAGACAGCAGCCAAGGGGCCCAGCTAGCTAGCTGCGGCTATGTCCGACACATGCGACCACCTGCAAGCCGCCAGTAAGTAACAGCTCATTAAGAGTCCCCCCGTCGCTCAGCGCACCCCCTCCTCACCCATGTCGGGGGCCGCTAAACCTGTTTTGCTTTCTGACAACTTGCTTTGCCCTCTAATCCCATTATTGCTGTGTCCTAACCTGTGGTTTTACTATATCTCCTGGATCCGCACCCCCCTACCTGTGCTGCCCCCCTCCTCACCCACCCACCTCAGCAGCCAGATTGCGGCCACAAAGACAACACACAGCAGCGGCGTGATGATTGCAGACAGCTGCACGATGCGAGCTCGTTCGGAGGGACTTGCATTCACGTCGAGCAGGCAGCTGGGGCTGTACACCTGTGCATGGACGACAACAGCAGCAGCAGCAACAACAACAACAACAGCGGGGGTGTTGTGATGCGATGGTGGTGGTGGTTTTCTTACAACAGAGGTTTCACGTGTGGCGCAAAAAACAAGTTTAGACAACCCAGTGCAACGAGCGCTACTGTTGGTTTTGGCTACACCTCTGCGTGTGATACAGGCATACACCTATCTACACCCGTCGACGGCTAGCTAGGGCGTTGGGGGGCTGCTGTACAGATACCGTACTTGAAGGCCTGCAGTGCATTTGCCCATCATCACCATCAACACTCCATCATCCTCCACGCCCGCCTCATGCATGCCGACCCGACCGACCCAACCACCCACCCGAGTGACGGCGCCTGTGACGGCGGAGACGATGGATGTGAAGCCGCCGATGGAGTCCGGCCAGTCGATGTTGAGTCGCGTGATGATTACAAACACCTGCACGTGGAAGATGACCACCTGAGGGGCGGAGGGGGGGCAGATGGGGGGGCGGAGGGGGGCGGAGGGGGGGCGGAGGGGGGGCGGAGGGGGGGGCGCGGAGGGGGGCGCAGGGGGGGCGGAGGGGGGCGAAAAGGGGGCGGAGGGGGGCAGTGTTAAGGCGGGGAAAGGGATGAGGGGGCACATTTGTAGGCATGCAGGCTATCACGGGCGTTGCTCTGGAGGTTGCAGTTCATGGCAAGGGCCGCACTCCTTAACGTCCCTAACGGGTACTAGTGTCCTATGCTACCATGATGCAGCCCTGGCTTGGTATTGTTTTGGAACATGGATCTGGTTTATTTCTATCACGCATGCTCCAACCACCTCTTCTTCTGCTTCCTTAGACCACATGGTTCGTGTTTCTTCCTCCTTACCCCCCCCCCCCCTCATCCACCTTGACCATGTCCCCAGTTGCCAGCTGCTCCTCCTGCGTATAGTCCGCAAGGAACGTCAGGAAGATGGCCACCAGCACCATCACCACGTTGGCCACGAAGCCGAGCACCGCGATGGCCACACTGAAGCTGCGGCTGAAGCACTGACTGCAGGAGAAGTCGCCGCTGTCTGTGAGGGCAGGGGTCACGGGTGTACCAGAACCAACCAGTTGGGACAAAGCAAGTGGAATAAAGTGAAGCAGTTTGTCACTATGTGTATCAGAGCAGGGGCGGAAGGGCGCGGGCGGGGGTGCGGGGAAGGACGCGGGCGCATAACACGCGGGCGCATGTAATAACGACGGCAGATTTGGGGCAGCAGCAGAGGTAGTCATGACCTCGTAAGGTGTCGGTGGCTGGCCTTTGTTAACCGAGCCAGAGTTAAAAGGCTTTTACTTCCAGGCCGGCATGGCAGATCCTCCTCCTCCTGCTCCCAGTGCCTAAGGTTCAGGTGGGGTGGCGATGGCTGCAGGCATGCATGCCGATAGGCAGGGTAGGGTAGGGTATGCATATCCCGGTCCTCCGCCTACCCCCCACCTGCGTACGGCAATCCGTCCACCGGCATGCACACCGCACACAGGTTGCCCCCGTAGCCATCGCTGCACTGCTTCCTCATGTACGATGCGGGGTGGTCGTACGGCAGACCCCACAACACACACATGGCGGGGTCGGTGAGGTTGTAGGTGCCGTTTGCGGCGCCCGGCGCGTCCGGGAAGAGCGTGGAGTCGCCGGCCAGGACACTGCAGCGGTGCAGCGGGGTGCAGGGGGAAGGTTCGTTGCAGCGAGTGCGGGCGAAAGGCAACGGGGTGTGCGGCGGAGGGGAAGGCAGCGGGCGGGAGCTCAACCTAAATTACCCGGAACCTGATGATAAAAGCGATAAGCGCATGCTTCCGTTTAGGATAGTGTTGGTGTCCCTTCTCCCTGGTCCTCGTCATTGGAGGCACACTGGAAGCAGGGGAGGAGGCAAGGCAGGCAGAGGCCCTTCAAGCACCATGCGTGCGCCCACCTGTCTACGTAGGCCTGGTAGTCGAAGCCGGCGGGTCGGGAGTACCACCACTGCTGGCAGGCCACCAGCGTGTCCTGATGGGGGCGGGCAGGCGGGGGCAGACAGGGTTGGGAGGAAAACGAAATGACAGCCGACCATGTAACAAGGCTGCACCATGGGACGGAGGGAGGGAGGGGCGAGCCCTTCCAAGACGTGAGTAAGTGTTGGACTCCCACGCAGCGCGGCCAGTTTTCTTAACACAGCGCACAACATAAACACAATAAACAAGCGGAACACCTGCACCCGTCGGTAGGCATCACAGGGAGGTAGGTATGCTACAGAAGTACCGCCAAGCAAATGCCAACCCGTTAGCGTGTTGTCCCCTGCCCCTGTCCCTGTTCCCACCCAAGCTATACCCCACGCCAACCAGCCCAACCTCCCACCTGCGCCCCGTCATCATCCGTACGGCAGGCACTCGGGTTGGCGCACGCGTTCATGTAGCTCGAGTTGGCGGCTGAGTGCCAGTAGCCGGCGCGGGGGACGAGCAGCGCCCCCCCCGGGCACTCCGCGCCGTCAGGGCAGGGGGTGCAGGTGATGTCGATGAGGTCGGGGTAGGAGCAGTTGGCAAGCGGCGCGAGGTCCTGCAGTCGAGGGGTGAGGGAATGAGAGTGGAGGGTGCGATGGAGGGACTGACAGAGTGAGGGAGCGAGGGAGGGAGGAAGGGGCAGCGGAAACGAAAAGCTCGCTGCTCCTCATGATACCATACCGGCGGTTCCTGCTATATAGCTAGCTTCCTCCCCCAGGTACGTCGCCACTACTGCCTGCTACTGCTGCCGCTCCTGCTGCCCTGCTGCCGTACCTGCCACAAGCTGAAGGAGCGCGGCTCGCACGTCTCGCACACGTAGCCCCCGTCTCGCGGCACCTCGCCCACACTGCAGGGCGGCACCGTCACGTTCACCACCAGGGGCTCCACCTGGTTGCAGCATGTGGACAGCGGGGAGGCAGGGGGGGCAGAAGCCGAGCGGGGGCGGGGGCGGGGGGCCTTACTACTGGTAAGTAGTCGCATAAAATAAGGACTCAAGCAGCGATACTGTACACAGGGTTGGGATGAGAGCGAGCAGGAAGATACGGTTTCACAGGCAACCAAGGCAAGGTGCCGTTCGTACAGAAAGAGGTGGGTAAGGCACGGGCAGGCGCAGCCGCAGTACTACCAGGTAGAGGCCTATCAATACACCCCGGAAGCGCTATTGGGAGGTCCGGGTCCACGCTATCGGGAGATCCCACGCTCCCGGCCCTCACCGTGCCGGAGAACACGCTGGCATCCACTCGCAGCTCAATCGAGTAGTTCACACCCTGCGTGTCATGTAGGAAGGTGTGTAGCAAGCCATGTAGGAGGGAAGGGAGCAGAACGTGGCGTCGCAACATTCATGCTCCGAGTGACCGCAAAGTGATCCAGATGCATGTAAATGGGCCATGCATCATTGGGATGTGTGTGGGGCCATGGACCATCCTTGGTGCAGGAGGAATGATGAAGGCATGCCGCCCAGCAGAGCGGAGTAGCAAGGAGTAGTGATCCGGAACCGCGCAACTGCTAGCCGCCCACGCACCTTGAGTGCCCGCAGGCGCATGGAGCTGATGAGCGCCGTGCCGTTCCTGGCGACCGCCTCCGTGCCGCCCAGCAGCTCCGCCAGGCAGCCGTTGCTGGAGTGCAGGAAGCGGGCGCGGACGTCCGCCTGACGCAGCGTGGTGTTCTCTGCAGGGTGGTGGATGGATGGGTGCATGGATGGATGGGGAAAGATAAAGGAAATAACGAATACCGAGCTGTGAGCGGGATGAAGGGTGATGGGGACGGGATGGGGAAGGGTCTAGAGCTCAGGTTCGAGCCCACCGGCGCATGCACAACAGCACTCTACTCTGCAGGTAAGCACTCCCTGTACGCCTATAGCTTACTCGAGCACACCTCCTTCCTATAACAGTACCCTATCCGTACTCCCTCGTCTCTACGACGATACTTTCAGCAGCAGCCCAAACCCAGCTTGCCTGAGGCCACCTGGTCCAACGCGTCGAGCAGGGTAACAGGTATGTCCATGGGCTCATTGGAGAAGGTGGTGATGTGGTAGTTCACAATCTGGGGGAGGCAGCAGGCGGCAGCAGGCGGAGGGTAGCGGTGGGGGCGGTGTACGGCAGGTTACAAGGTGGTGTACGGCGCAGGAAGGCAGGCGGCAGGTGCTGTTGGTGTGCGCAGCTCAGGTGGTGTAAGGTGTAAGCAAGGCTCCCAGCCCTACCTCGAATCAAGTCACACGCATCAGGCACCACGGCTTTCAAAGAGCATGCCTGGCTGTGGATGTGTCATCAAAGCTACACACAGATACGCCACCAGTACCCAGTACCCGCCAGCATACCACCGACACCCATCAATCTCAACCTCACCTGGCGGAAAGCCTGTGTGTCATTGTCGTACACCCAGCCCACAGCAGCACGCAATCCCGGCTTGTCTGCCAGGTTGTAGGACTCCACCGGGGCGCCGCTTTCCTGCGCATTTTGCTGCTGGAGCGCCCGAGCCCTCCGGGACGACGTGATGGGTTGGGCGCTGACCGATGTTGTGCTTTTGTTGTTGTTGTTGTTGTCGGCTGCTGAACTGCTGCTCGAGGCTACGTTGGACGTGTTGCCTGTGTTTAGGGTTGAATGTTAGGATGAAAGAATGCGTGACGAGGTGGGGAGTTATATAATAACAGGGTTCCTAATTAGGCAATGTCGCCGGCGATAAGGAGCAAATCTAGGCAAGGGACGGGCCATCTTACCAGTCCAAGAGATGTCCGGGAGCCGCAGCTTGCTGGGAACAATTCCAATCAGATAGCCGTAACCCTGAAGATAATTGGGAAGTATGCAGCACAGGCAAGTCAATTGCGCAATGCACAACGGATGGGTCGTAACCTGGCCCCAACCATATGCATGCACAGTAGCAGGCTACGAACTATGCTTCACCCGGGGATGACGACTGAAAAGCCACACGTAAGTGTTAGTAAGCATGTGGCTACTCCTTACCCGGGCCCGGTTATCGGAGATGTTGAGTGTTGACAGCTGGGAGCCCGACAGCTGCAGTTGGTCAATGGATGTGTTGTAGATCTGTTGGATCTCATCCCGGTAGCAGTACTTGACGATGCTGCTGTCCAGGACCTGGTAGGAAGCTGTGGGGCGAGCAAAAAAGAGGAGTCAGGCCGAGACGTGCGCAAAAGCATGCATGAGTACTGAAAAGCAAATGGTTTGTCCGCACATTGCGTTGACCCGTCAATAGCAATGGCCGTCAAGCCTAGATGAAACAAGGACCCAGTTACGGTAGTTTCGTAAGCCCTAGAAACCGACATGCAGCAGGCATGCTCCGGCACGCACCTCTCTGCATGGCGACAAGCACCCGACCGGCCAGGTAGCTGTCATCATCCGAGGTCGCGTTGCCTGCCACACCGGTGGACGCCTCCCCGCCGCACACCAGAGACAACGCCTCCGGATGCGACGCAAACAGCGCACCGCCGCTGCGATCAGCCTCGTTGTTGTAAAACCGTGGCCTGTTTAGGAAACCAGCAAACCAGAGAGAAGGTAAGCCGCCTGTTGCCGCCTGGACTTTGCATGCATGAGTTGCCTGTTCAGGCACGACAATCCCCCGCGGACTTACAAGTACACGACGGTGCCCCAGCAGCCCTTGGGCCGGGGCCACTGAAGGCTCTTCACGGTACCGTTGAACAGCGACTTTGTTCCCTTGAAGGCTGTTGGCGTTACCAGGTAGTCACTGAGGAAGAGCGACTTGGAGTCCTGTGGCAGCAGAAGGTTGATATCGGTACGCCGTCCTTTTGTTTTGCCATCATGAACGCGATCATGAGCGCAATTGCAGAAGTAGCTAAGACGGATGACTTGCAAAGGGCAACTGTGTGAGATGCATGCTGAGCACAAATACAGGCATGCATTGCAAGCTGATTACGCGCCAAATAGACGAACAGAGTTAGGACAAAAGGTACCGTGCATGGGCAAGCAAGGGAGGGGCTACCGGTAACAGTAACTGACCAGGTCGCATTGTGACTCGATGAAGATGGAGCCTCCTTGCATGGCGGCCGCGTTGCCCTCAAAGTACGAATCCGCAAGCAGGGTGGACACGTGGCCTTGGACCAGGAAGCCGCCCCCAAAGCCATTCTGCATGCATGCATGGCAGCAGACGTAATCCAACCAGAGGCGGTGACATGAGCATGGCATGCATGGCATCATAAGTAAGTACTCGATGCTAGACATGCGTCCACGTGAGCCGGCCGTTGGCTGGTCTGAGGGGACTCCCGTGGGAGCGAGGTGGGGCTGCTAAGATCCTAAACTAGATTTGAAAAAACAAAGCTCCCTATGCCATGCCTCGCAACGTATGCAGGCCGCTAAGCATGAAGCAAGCCCAGGCGGGTACTTTCGAATTTATTCCCCGGGGTATGCAAGTCAGCAGCCGTGTCAGCATGAAAGTAATCAAAGCCAGCACTGTAGTGACGCTACCGACACGCCTACCAGCACGCTGTCGCTGCTGTTGAAGGCCGAGTTGCCCAGCATACTGCTTTTGTGGACGATGGCTATGCTCGCGCCAACCGGGTTATCCGCCGAGTACTCCCCGGTAACAGGCAGGTCGTTCCACACATACGCCCCGCCGGCGCTCTGTGCATGGTTGTTCTCGACTGTCGTACCGTTCACAAACACGATACCGCAGGAAGTGGCACTCAGGGCGCCGCCGCGGCTGCTGGCTGTGTTGCCGAACATGCGGGTGCTGGACAGCTGCAGTTCGTTGCAGAGGGAGGCCTGGGGGCAGATAGGAGTGGCAGTAGTCCTCAGCGGCCTCCGCAGCGGTAAGCATTGAAGAGGTGCTCTAAGTTTCGCAGTTCACGGCTCTGCTTGTACGTATGTGTCCAGGCTGCATGTATGCCGGTTATGCGTATGTGTCCAGGCTGCCCACCCTTCGCTTTCGGGAACAAAGTCAAACGTTGACTCCAACCTGCCAAGCAAAAGAGGATCGTACTACGGGTAGACATCTATCAGGGAATGTCCAAACCCCCATGCATCTACCCGCAGGCACTGCAGCTTCATTCCCCTCTACATTCCTCCTTGCACATACACCTCACCAGGATGCCGCCGCCGTTCCCCAGGTTTGCCACAAACGTGGCTGCAACAGCTGATCCCGAGCTGAGCTGCGAGCCGTCGGCGGTGTTGTTGGTGAGCGAGGAGTTGTCCATTGCAACCGAAATGCGGTTGAGCATGGCGATACCTCCGCCCAGGGCAGCCGTGTTGCTGTCAATGGTCGTATTGACGAACGACACCTGTGGTGGTTGAAGAAGGAAAGCGAAAACGCAAGCTGACGTGTGGCATATACTGTACTGAGCATACCGTTCAGAAAGGGCACAGGTAGGTTAAGCGCTCCCGCAGCTCAGACAGCATGCAGCACCCCAAGCAAACACACACACATGTACCCGCGGCCCATCACGCTCACCTGCTGGTGGTTGCTGTCCGCTGCAAGCACCAGCGCACCACCCGCCCCGACCGCCGCATTGTTGGAGGAAAACACACTGCTGACCACAAACACCTGCGGCGGGGCGGACAGCGGCACGCACACCGCTTAAAATTCCACCCCATGTCACGGTCTGGCCGTTCACCGCTGGATCGTGACAACCTCTTTAGAGTAGAGAACTTAGCAGCCTGCATGCAATCCATGCCGCCGCACACCTCACCTCAAGGCTCATCCCGGCTTGCTCGTCATCCTGAACCAGTGCAAGGCCGCCACCATCTCCGGCTTCCACGCTGTTGTCCAGGAACTGTATGTAAGGGTGCACGGGACACAATGTACAACAACATCCTCGTTATCGACCCATGGGTCACTGCGTGTTTGCGATGGATCCACCGTTGATTCATGCCCCTCTGGATGCAGCTGATGCAACCCTTAGAAGTAGCCAATAGCTCTATCAAACGTTTTTGGGGTATGGCAAATAGAGCAAGATGCAGCATGGGGCCTCGTCTTGCTGTACCTTGGAACCATCAATGAGGACACGGCCGGTGCCGCCATCTAGGACGAAAGCGCCGCCGTCCGTAACCGCCGTATTGTTCACCGCGGTCACCTCCATGAATATCGTGCCCAAGCCCAGCGCGTACGACACGCCTTCAGGTGCCGTGCTAGCCGTACAAGTAACCTGGACGCTGGAGGGCCGGCCCGCATCATCCCAGGATCCCCAGGCTGCGCCTGGAACGAGCAGCGACGCATTGAAGCCCTTGACGTCTGCATCGGCGCTGAAAGCATAGCCAGCTATTGCGACCTTTTGGGGCAGGCTTGGGTCGGAGAATTTGGAGCTCGTGAGGCCCTTCAGGAGCGTCTGGAGGATTGCATGGGGTTGAACGGGTTGCAGGGTGGTTAGTGGTTAAATGCAAGGGCTGACGCCCTTATACTGATAGGGTAACACTCCCCAACGACATTTGAAACGTGATACAAGATACACCTGGACACACTGCCCGAACCATGCATGCGCAAATCTGGCCTCCAGTCACCTTGGCTTTCCACACTGTTATAGTACTACCACCACCCGCGTGACTACCTACCCATGAGCTGCAAGGGTTTGTAATAATCCCCAGCAAAGCAGTAATAACCCCCAGTACCGGTAATAACGCACCTGAACAGCTGCATAACGGTAGGCGTCGGGGTCCAACTGGTACTGTGCTGTGGAGAAGTCCACGGCACACGTCCGGGCAACCTCATGGGGCATGATGCTCATGGATGGTGTGTGAACATCCAAACCGGATGTACTCGTGCTTCGCCAGCCCTTGCCTGGGTTGACTTCTGTTGCTCCTCCTCCAAGCGCCCACTTTCCTTGCAGTATTTCCACGTTTGTGACTGAACCCAGCATCGTGCTGCTTTCCGAGGTCTGGACACTGCTGTTCGGCGCCAATGTTATCATGGAACCTGTAGCAAGGGTGTAGCTGACGTCCAACGTTTCGTCGTACAACAGAGTTCCGTTGCGGCCGCCGAGTATGTAGTACCGGCTGCCGTCCGAAATGTTGAGGTCGAAGGGTTTTCCAAAGATGATGCGGCTTTGCAAGGCGGGTGCAGCAGCCATGGAGGTGTAGCTGTCGTTGAGGGTGTGCGGGGCACCGTTGCTCAGCTGCCACGTGCTGCCCTTCACGACCGTAAGGTTTGCAGGGGTTGAAAGCACGGTTGTACCGCTGTCGTGAACCAGAATGCTACTGGAGGGCGCGAGATTCACAGCAGAGCCATCGGCTAGGTTGTAGCTGGCATGTAGAGCGGCGTCAAACATCCACGTCCCGTTGCGGCCTATCCATACCGTGTAGCGATCTGCGCTGTCAACAGCAAGCACGGCTGCTTCAGAAAGGGTTACGTAGCTGCCGTTGGCAGGTTGTAGCACAATTTGCTGTACGGCAGCGCTTGCTCCCAGCTGCGTGCCGTTGCTGAGCGTTATGACGTTACTGTTGTCCAACCTGACATTGCCAGAAAGGGAATGCGTAAAACTGTCGTGGACAAAGAGCAAACTGTTCTTCGCAACAGCCACAACCGTCCCCTCCGTTAGCAGGTAGTTGGTTCCAGAACTTGTGTCGTACAGGTACGTTGCATCCCGGCCAGCCCAGATGAAGTAGCGATACCACTCGGTGACCGCGAGGGAGGTGCGGTTGGGGAACTGGATGGTGCTGTGGGAGGCCAAGAGGGCTGTCATGGCGACCAGGCTGCCACTCGTCGCCAAGGTAGACCCGTTCCGTAGATTCCACGCGTTGGCCTGGATGACAAAACTGAGGTCAGACGACAGCAGCGCTGATCCATCATGTGAGGAGATGAAGCCTGTTTGGGAGGTGGATATCACCGCGGCATCCGGTAGCATGGCAACAAGCCCTGAGCTGCAGTCGTACAGCAGTGTGCCAAGCGGTCCAGCCCAAACAAGGTAACGACTGTGTTCGGAAACGGAAACCGCTTCCGTGTCGTTCAGCTGTACGATGCTGCCAGCTGACAGCACCAGGCTAAGGGCAACAACGCTGCCAGCTGGTGATAGCACGGTGCCGTTGCTAACCGTCCATGCTTTGCCTTGGACAGTGATCGCAGACCCGGCGGGTAAGGTTGCAGTGCCGTCGTTGGTCTGCGTGAGGGTGCTGCCTGGAGACAGGGAAAGCACCGAAGCAGCATTGCTGAGCGGTGAACTCGTACCGAGGGCAGAGTTGTCGAGGTACGTGCCGTTCCTGCTTATGCGAATGATGAACGACTTCCAGCTCGAAACACGCATGGTCGTCCCAGCAGCTAGAGTCACATTGCTCCCAGCGGCTGGCGATGCCGAGATGGCAACAATGCCAGCCGTAGGAGTAAGCCTTGTGCCATTCTGTAGCGCCCAAAAGCCAGGTTGAACGGTAAGAGACACGCCGGCTGTGCTGTGAAGGACCGGCCCGTGTTTGATGATGGGGCTCCCGTTTCCAAACGTAATCCTCGACGAGCTGCCAATGAAGCTGGTGGATCCATCAACTGTGTCGTACAAAAGGGTTCCAATCCGACCCATCCATACAACGTAGCGGTTCCATTCTGATACCTCCAAGCTGCCTCCACCGAGGAAAGAGATAGTGCTGCGAACGGCGGGGATAACGCTGACAGCTGATGACACGGTGTCAGAAACTTGAAACTTGGTGATACCGTTAATCTTCGTCCATTGCGAGGCTTGAACCACCAAACTGGCACCTGCTTCTAGCATTTCCATGGCTGGGCTTAGCAGAGTAATTGCACTCCCGCTTGCGAGGACTGTCGTCAGGATGTTGGCAAAGTCGATGCCGACGTCACCAGCTGTCGATGAGTAAAGGCGTGTGCTGCCGTCTTGACTTGCTTGAATACGGAAGCCCTGCCAATTACCATAAGATAGGGCGCTGCCAGCTGCGAAGCGCACAGTGCTTCCTGCACCCAACGCAACGGTGTTGTCGTATCCAAGGATCTGTGAAGGCCCGGCAGCCTGGGGCACACGTAACGTGACGCCGCCCTTGACGAAATACCCTGTCGTTATGGTGCCGTACTTGATGCTTCCATCGTAAACTATGGTAGCATTGTACGATTCCACGCTTTGCTCCGCAATTCCAAGGTGTGCGAAGCCACGAGGTGACATGTACTGCTTGATCTGCTGCATGAAGTGGCCAACGCAGCCGCCGCTTGCCGCAATGCTGTTAGAGGCATCGCCCCCGCTGCTGCCGGCTGCTGCTGTCAGGGTCTGAAGCTGCAGGGCTCCGCCCCGTGCCCCAACACGATTGCCGTCAAACAATGCCTTTGCGGTTATGGTGCAGTTGCAGCGGAGGATGCTCAGAGCTCCGCCGCTGAGAGCTGCGTAGTTGCGTAGGAACCGGTTGTCGAGGAGGGAGACCAGCGGAGTGGTTAGCAAGTACGCTGCGCCGCCGTATTGTACGGCCGTGTTGCTTTCAAAACGCGATGATCGTACATCAGCAATGATATTGTTGACCAGCGCCTGCACCGCAGAGCGGAGAAAGTACGTGTAAAGCTTATAACCTAAACTAAGGGCATGACACAAACTACGAAAGCTGATATGGATACTGGTATACTAAGGTCTCCAGGCTGGTCGTTAGCAGCACACATCAAAAGTTCCAAATGCATGCATGATAGGCACATGCGCGCATGACTGGCAGCAGGAAACCACACATAGAGCAGTCCCTAAACCTACCAGTGCACCACCGCTACCCGCCGCTTGGTTGCCCTGAAACGCCGACATCAGCACGGTTGCGTTCAGCTCTCGTGCCAGCACCGCACCACCATCATTGCTGAGCGCCCTGTTATCCACAAACTTGCAGTTAAAGAACACCAGGTTGGGAGTTGTGCTGTCATCGATGCTGCTGTTGGCAGTCCGCCAGTTGGTAGCAGCCAGCGCGCCTCCGTAGGTGCTGCCGGTGTTGTTTGTGAAGTTGTTGCCGTCCCAAAGGGACCCGCAGGCCATCAGCATCGCAGCACCGCCAGATCCACCTGCCGAACAAACAGCAGTGATGGAGGTACGGCGTTTGACACGTCACGACTTTGGGTTATAAGTGGTCGTAATACGGTAACTGATGCATGCATGGGAGATCCTGTGACATGCAGGGGCCATTGATGTTGATTGGGACGATAGTTGCGTCCTTACAGCGGCACTCAGGCACCTGTACGTCCGCGTAATACAGCGCAGTATAAGTGTTTTGGGAAGCACATATGGAGTGGTAGTGGATGGGGACCAGACCATGCATATCCGCATGCAAAGCGTGTTATAAACTGAAGCATTACCTACCGATAGCGCTGTTGCTGGTGAAGTTGCTTTCGTCGATTTGCAGGATTCCAAAGCAGGACGCGGCTAGCATTGCGCCGCCACTGTCGGACCTGCAGCAGCACATGAAACGACAATGTGACGCGAGCGATCGATCCTAGTGGACGGACAAGATGGAGGTACAACATACAGGTACAGCAGAGGGCAAAGGAAGGAGGTGTTCCGTACAAAGCGCAATTAGTTGCGTGCTTCGTTCTTACCATTGGTCATTGGGCACCCCGTCTCCAGCAGTGTTGCCCGTAAAGTTCGAACCCTTGAGCTGCAAGGCTGACTTGTCAATGTAGATGGCGCCGCCGCCAGCAACTCCCCAGTTGGCCAGAAAGGTGCTGTTCCAAATGTTGAGCTGCGGACGTGGGGGGAAGGAAGGGCCCACAGGAATCAAGTAGCAGCGACAACAGCTTCATGAGGAAAGCGTCGGGCGCAGTAGCAGCGGCAGTAGGACTTTCCAAATGACCCGCATGCATGCAAAACGTAATGGAAACCCTGAATGCGCGTGCGGCAAGGATTACGGCAGAATGTACTGACATGCATCCTGGCGCATGCACGCAGTCAACAACGGATGGCTGCATGCTACTGGGGTTTGTTAACTTTACAACCACACAGCCTCACCTTAAGCAAATTTGCCTCGTCAGACGAGTAGTACGGCACGTAATTACGTTGGAGGATTTTCAAGGCATAGGGAGAAGCACTAATAGCCTGCACATACAGAAACGAATTCATTAGTCAGGGTCACTTGATCGGTGCTTTCCGTTTGCAGCTACCAGCGTTCAACAACGAAAGCCACTCGCGTGTCCCCGTGGATGGTGCTGCTACATCCACCCATCTTCCTTACCGCAACTGCCCCTCCATCATAGTATGCGCCGTTTCCGGTGAATTCGGACCCGCTGATGCCTAGTCCTTGGCCGTATACGTAGACAGCGCCACCGGTCAGGGCTGAGTTGCCCTCCGCTTTGATTTCAGTGAGCTGCAATGCGTGCATCCAATACACAAAAAGACGTATAAGCAAGGAATTCAGTTTCGCCAATGATCGGGGACCGAGGCAGACCCCAATGCCTGTAGTACCCTCCACGTCAAGGAAAGGTAGGAGAAGAACCACGATTGGGTGGCAAGTTTGAATGAAGCGCCTGGTGTAATTACCTGCTACCGGCTGGCCCAACTATACCAATACTAGTAATGGCCCCCAGCCATTTTTTAACACATAGACCCTACTAGTGCAAACTGCATGCCCACCGTCCACACGTCTTTACCTGCAAGGTGCTTATTGGGTCCTGCAGCGCATTCAGAGCGTACACCGCCCCTCCATCCACCGCCGCCACATTGCCAGTGTAGCGGTCCCTGTACGAACTCACATTGCAGGCCTTCGCATACACAGCAGCGCCCCTGCACGGGGAACGAGCATGGGCACATCATTTGTTCTTAACATGATCCACTGGAATTCCTTACGGGATCTCATTGAAGACCCCATTTGCAACCCGTTCCCTTAACATTTGGATGCGCACACGTCTCTTGCACTTGTCTGTGGCCTTTTAGCCTTGCGTTTCACCATCAGCAGCGCCCAACGGCACAGCAAACGAGGGCAAGCAGACCACTTACTGGTCTGCCTTGTTTCTGGAGAAGACATTGGCAGAGAACACATCGTTCCAAGGGTAGCCGCCAAAGGCCGAGCCCGGCGGGAACTGGGTGCAGCCCTCGAGGTAAACGGCTCCGCCCGCCAGCCCAGTATCCAAGTTACCGTTGGCTGTGAAGTTGTTGATGCTGGCCAAGAGGGCCCAACCCTGGTAGGCCTGCACATGTGAATGGGTCAGGATCAGGGAAATGGCCGTACGTGTCATAGAAGATCTCAGGATGAGAATTGTATAGTGGCAACGTAAACGTGCAACCGTGAAGGGCAGCAAGTTTGCCGAAGCTCAGAATGCCAGGCAGTTGGGAGTTTCACCGTGCTAGAAGTACAGGTCAAGATGAGTAGACGACCCATGGGTCGGCATCGTCCTTGCTTCACAATGCAGGTCCACATGCAACCGCCCTGGCCCTAATTGGGAAGCATACGTTCGCGCTGAACATTATCAAGCACTTCGCGCTCGCTCGGTGGATGCTGTTCGTTAAAATGTTATGAGGTTTACCCCGTACGACACCCCGTACGACACATGACTGACTCACCGCTACAGCTCCGCCGGACACCTGAGCCCAGTTATCCTTGAAATTGCTCTCCGTAATCACAGCGTAGGAGGAAGCGCTGGTGACATCGGTCGGCTTCAGCAGGAGTGCTCCGCCATACAGCCTAGCCCTGTTCAGCCGGAAGTCGCTTTGTGTAACAGTAATGTTATCCAGCATGCTTGCCACGAGTGCACCGCCCTGAGGACAGGAGTTGCCCACAAATGTGGAACCCTGCACAAGCAGGCTCCAAGCTGGTCCGCTGAACCGAGCCGCCACCAGCGCTCCCCCCATGCTGCTCTCAGAGTCACCCGAGCACTCGTTCTGTGTGAACGTGCTGTTCACAATGCTGCTGTAGTAGTAGCTGCCAAGCAGGGGTACGGCAGCAGTGGATTGTTGCGCTGCGGGACTTGCGAGCGGGGCGGGTGATGGTGGGGCACTGGGCGGGTTCGGGAAGAGGCTGCTGGGAAGCGGAGGTGGAGGCAGAGGAGTGCTGTCAGCAGGAAAGAAAGTACCGACAGCACCGCTCTGTCTGTCAGCCTTGCCGAGCAGGTAGAAGCCGGCTCCAATCGGGGCTGAATTGCTCATGATGGCGCATCCATTTGCCGTGACAGAGGTGTTGTACGCGTAAAGAGCGCCGCCGTAGAAGCCAGCGGAGTTTGCGAAGAATGAGGTTGAGGCCATTCGGGCTGTTGAGAGCTCCGTGTAGACGGCGCCACCTCGACCGGTGCTACCTTCCGCGGCGTTGCGCTTGAAGGAACTGTTTAGGAGCACCAGATCTGATGCCTCGCTGTAGATGCTGCCGCCGTAAGGCGCCCTTCCCTGTGCACTGTTGGCTACGAACGAACAGCCATCACACAGCAGACCTGAGTGTGACACGAAGATGGCACCACCTTGCACCGCGGTATTCGTGCTGAAAGTGCAGTCCTGGAGTCGGAGACTGCTTGCTCCGGTTATGCTGACTGCGCCGCCGATGCTTGCTGCCGCATTGCCTTGGAACAAGCTGCATGCAACACAGATACATGTCATCCGTCATTTGTCATCATTAGTAGACAAGGTGGTGTGTGTTCTCTGCATAACCCGTCATGTTTGTCCAACGCCAGTAATATAGGACAACCCAGCAGGGTGGCGCCACCCCCGTGTATGTATGCGGCCCCAAGCCATCAGCCAGCAGAGACACCTAACAACCCGTCAACCGCCCGCCAACCGCCACCAACCGCCCGCCAGGACCCCCACCACCCCACACGTGCTTACCTATTCGTGACAGTGGCGTTGCATGCCTTGGCTTGCATGGCAGCGCCCCAATCGGTTGCGGACCGGGCGACATTGCCCTGGAATATCATGTCCGTCATCTCAACCGAGCCACCGCAGCGCACCATGATCAGCGCGCTACCGTTCTGGCATGCGGAAAAGGTGCTGTTCCGGAGCGATGTTGAGCCCTGCGGAGCCTCAACTTGCAGCGCGGAAGCCCCAACCACGTTCTGAAACGTGCATGAAGTCAAGCTGCTGGCGGAAGAGACGTCTGAAAACATCACTGCAGGTGCGTCCGGACTCACGATGTCTGTAAACACGCAATCCGTTAGAGAGACCGATTCCGCGCTCACTACGGCCAGTGCCGCTACACCGGTGCCGTTTCCGGCATCGATCCGCTGCCAAACCGCATTCGAGGCGATCAGGCTGCAGTTGTCCCGTACGAGAACTGCTGGCCTCTGATCATCCGGGTTGCCGATAAACCTTATGTCGGTAAAGTTGACGTTCGCCAGTTGAACCTCAGTCGACTCGTCCGCGCGGATTGCCGTACCGCAGCCTCCGATCACGGAAAAGCCGCAGTCGGAAACACGCAACCGCCCGGCTTCAGCGACCCGGAGGACCTGGGTTTCGAAACGGGACAGCCACGAAACGTCTCGGAAGACGCACTGCTGAGTGTCAACACGTGCATCAAGAGCGTTGAGGACAACTCCGGTGTAGGCACCCAGCGCGGCGTTGTTATCCACGGCAATACCGGAAAACGTGCAAGCGGAAAGTACCACATCCGAATCTTCGACTCCCATCACGGGGCGCCAAAGACGTGTGAGGTTGGTGAAGGTAACGCCCTCCATACGCAGCGTGGCCCCGCCGGTAGCAGATACACCGCAGCCCACACTGGGTTTCGGTGCGGGAATGCAGTTGCGTGCTGCGAGTTTGCCGCCAAAGTCAATGCCGGTGACGTTAACGTTGGTCAGCTCCAGCTCTGCGGCGCTATCGACACGAAACAGGGTGCCGCAGCCGCCTGCTGCTGCCGTAAAGCTGCTGCCGGACAGACTCAAGCGCCCTCCATCAGATACATGAAAGAACTGGGAATCGACGGGCAAGGTCCAAGAGATGCCGTCAAAAGACGCGTTTTCCAGCCTTACGACAGCGCTGGCGGCGTGTAAGAGCCCGCCTAAGTCCGTCGGATCGTACTGTCCCTGCTGGAACGACAAGACCTGCCAGCGGACGTCGGTCGCCGTAAACGCTCCACCCGTTACGGAAATGGCTGATTGTAGCAGAAGGACGGAGGATTCCGTGATTTGCATGTTGCGGACTGTTATCTGGCTGTCCACGGCCCGAAGAGCTGCTCCGGATGTGAATGTGGTCGGCGTGTAGCGGTCAGCCGAGTACTCCTGCCCGAGCCGGATGAAGCCGGCATCCTCAATCGTGACGTCGCTGTCCTGGATTAAGATTGCAGGAGTCTCACTGAGTAGAATAATACCGTCGACGGTGACGTTTTGAAGTGCGCAACGCTGGCAGTTGTTTAGCTTTATCGCGAAAAAGTCGCTAGTGTAGGGATAGTTTTGGAGCTCCACATTGGTGAAGGTAACGTCCTCCGCGTCCGAGAGCAGCAAGGAACCAAATGAGCCTGACTCATCGAGGGCTAGGGTCACGTCGCCTGCATATGAGGGGCAGCGGAGGGTTCTAAGATGGTGGAACGGCGAATATTCCAGGAACGACTCAAGGCACGGCGAGGCGGAGTCCCAGGAGCAGCGCCACGGAAGATAACAGTAACACTCCGAAGACTCCGTATGTTGGAAGACATGCATCCGTACTAGGGTCCACAAGTAAGGTTCTCATAAGGAATCCACCCTTGGATTGCTCCTAATCACGCTTCGTCGTAAATGCCATGAACAGGAGTTCCCCGGGAATCCTACTGCGTTGTCTTTCCCAGCCTACTGTTCGCCATCCTAGCTAGCTTCTCGGCAACAGCCAGTTGCTTAGGTGCAATGTACATGACCACGCCAGCAAATACAGTAGATCGGCATGTTCCAAAGTAAGAGCTCTCATGTGCGGGGAAATTGCCCTAAGCAGGGGGAAACCCGATGCAAGTGTACGTGGGATAGAAACCTTTCTCCCAGCGATTGCCTACCTTCTGGGTATACAAAGTCGTAGATGTCGAGTCCAACTGTGAAGGTTATAGGGCTTCCAGTGCACCTCAGCTCTCCTTGTACGTCAAAAGGGTAAACAGGGCGCTCCTCTTCCACCTTTAACTTAAACTGGCATTTGGTATTAGCCGATATAAATGCTGTGTAGTGTAGTAAAACCAGCACGCTAACGGCTGCCAGTGGTGTCGCGCGATAGCGCATGACGAATACGCTTGCGTAGGCCAGCCAGCACGATCTGTTATACTATAGAGAGCGTTTAATCATGATATTATGATATGGGGCAACTGAATGAAATATGAAATATGAGTTTTCACAATCCTTGCCGGGCATGAAGCCGTCGAGTTGCTAAGGCACCCATAGGAGGGAAAGTGGAACTGTAAAACATTGCATATCACCACTAGATGCATGCTTTGCAAAATTGCGCTGGTAATTTGCGGATGCTGGTTTCATTGTATATTGCGACGCCGTACTCCCGATTGCCTCTGGTTTCTAGGCATGGTCAGGGACGCACATCTAGGTTGCATACTCCCGCACAGTGAACGGTAGCGACTAAAACAAACATACGCAGCTTTCTTTGACTCGGCCGTTTGTTACGTCCTATCCCATACACGAACCTGGTAAAACCCTTCTGGGCAGGCATGCCTCGGGCTTCTTCAACCATTCGCTTGTTGCGCTCAACTCCTCCGTGAGCACCGGGGCCGTACACGAGCGTATCTGTTGCCTGTTCCCTTGCAGTCTTTCTGCCAAAATCGCTGGGCTTCCCTGCCTCTCTCGAGAATTTTGCCGAAGTGCACAACCTTGGTGCATCACGAGGACCTGCCTAAGCTGCAATCGTTACGTTCTTGAAGCAACCATGGCGCATGCACACGCCCACACGTCATTTGTTCTTACATTCCAATCCTCGCAAGCTACCAGAGTACGATGACCCCACCGTTGAGTACAGGTTTCACCAGACATCGGCAGAGAGATACATAACTGCCGACGGTCAACCACTCCCCCAAGTGTAGAAATCATCATGACTACGAATTTTCCTTCATGCCCAACTTCCATATACGAACACAATGCGCGTTCTCCCGTAATCAGCTGCTCTGGGTTAAAAAATTACTCCTTACCCCAAGACACTTCTTGCCGTACACAGACAACCTCACCACGCCAAGGCATCTGGGTTCCGTACTGTATGTTCCAACTGCCAACCGCCAACAGGCAACTTCCAAGCCAATAAACAGTTAAAAACCGCCTTTATCGTAGCCCCCAACCAAGAAAGCAACAATCCATTCTCACTAACCACCAACTGAAAAGCCTCCGGGAAATCTTATGCTGCATGGTGAACATTTGCTGAAGCGTCAAAGCCCAATCAGTCGTCAAGCCGACATCAGTTCAACCCTGTCTACTCCTCTTGACAGCCGCCATTAGATAGATACAACTAGAACAACCGACCAACCAACAGCTAGGCACCGGTGGAGCGGTCAAGGCCTGGCCCCCTTGAGACCGAAGCAGCGCTCTGCCACACACATGGCAAGTACTGTCAGCATTGTCCGTGCGGGATGCAAACAATCGAGAGAAACAACAACAGTGTAAGAAACATAAAGCCTAGGTGCTGCTTTGTCCCGCTCACTTGTTGCACCCAAAGAGTGTGGAGGTACATTTGCTCACCGTCTCCTAGCTCTGATACCAAGGCTCTAAGTGCCACGGTTTTCGTCACGGAACCCACGCCGTTTTCTCAGCGCAACATTAGACCGGTTACGTGTCCGGCCCCGAAATCATAACACAGGTACGTGTTCTCCTCCTCGCCAACCTAACCAGTACCCCGCAAAAACAACAAAGACGCAGGCAACTGTGCACAGATGTCCCAACGCATGACAACGCCAACCTTGTTCAGGTCCCAATCTGCCTCAAATAGAATATGCACAGCCAACAATCTTCTGCAATAGCACGTGTGGATGCCAGTCAAGGTCGTTAATGGCATACAGGGGCGACTAAGCTACTAGCTGGCACTGGCCATTTGCAAGAACGCTCCACGCACCATGGCTTGACACAAAAGCCCATCTGACGCCTCTTCCATGGGGGCTCCGTGGGCACCATCACTATTAGATCCGACTGGCTACACACTACCTAGGCACCGGGACAAAACCATGCTGGCCCACCACACGCACTGAGTCACTGTGCACTGCTCTGGCCAATCTCATGAGAGGCACTTGAAAGGTAATAGGTCGCCAAACGCCAAGGCCCCACCGGGTAGGTAAGGCTTCCCCTTCCAAGCTCGCAGCAACGCACAGCACCACAAACCGGAGCTCGTAATATGTACCCGCAGTAACGCGCGCGTGGGCAAAAATAAGTGTTCGTTTGGGGTCAGGAGACAACAAAAACATGTTTCACGGAAGGGCTCACAATGGAGCGCTGCTGGTGCAATCATCGATACACGCTACAAGAGCCGTTCAGCCATATTCAACTAGCGGAACAGCCACACCCGACCTACGGCAAACACCCATACATAATTGATGCATTAGGGAGTATACAGAGGGAGGATGTGTACGACTCCGAAGTTCGCAAGGCTTGACCCGTACGGGTAAGCGGACATGCAGCTAAGCATGCAGTGGCATGCAAGAAGCCGTCCTTTACACTCAGCCGTAACAAGGCGCTCTAGCATCTAATAGCTCGAATCAAGCTGCACACATTAGCGACCGATACTTTAAGACCCTATAGCCACACAAAAGCGCGCACATCTCACGCACACCGACAAGCTAATCACAATACCGTCGCGACCACAGCCTAGAGAAACACGCGGCACGGCCGCTGCGGCCCAAAACAAATCAATCGCACTCACACACTACCATACCGCGGTAACTCTCCCCAGGTCCCCGGATGCTGCTAGCGAACTATCCCTGTCCCTGACCGCCCAGCCCAACTGGCACAGCGCGCAGGTGCTGCATGAGCCGCAGCGCCGCGTGCGCAGCCAGCCAGGGGACCGCCTCACACAGCGCTGCCCAGAGCTCCGGCAGGTGGTGCACCGCCTGCGCCGCCACCGCCACCTGGCTCTCTGTCAACGGCCGCGACAGCCACGTGCTGAGGCAACAAAGAAAGCGCGGAAGAATACACAAATCGATAAAAAAATGGAAGGCGGGACCAGGGGCGCATAAGCAGAGGGTATTTTTCTTTCACAAACATGGGGCACAAAAACGCACCTGTCTCTGCCTGCCGCAGCCCAGAGTTCCGCGCGATGAGCCGCAAAGTGCAGCTCCGAAAGCACCGCAACCATCTCGGGCCGGTCGGACCATAGCTCCACAGACTGCAACGCCACGCGCAGCCCGCCAATATGTGCCGACAGCTGCGCCATGGCGGCTGCCTCGGCAGAGCTGTAGCCGCGGACGGGCAGAGGTCCCGCAGCTGCCGCCGCAGCAACCGCTGCCACTGAAGGCAGGGGAGGCAGTGGTGGCAGCAACGTGGAAACGGCGTCCAGCAGGACGCGTGTGTCTAGCAGCGGCGCGATCGTGGCACCAGAAGCAACCTCCAAGGCCCGGATCTGCGTGTGCGGCAACATGGGGAGCGGTTGGGAGAGGTTAGGACGATGCCATGGTAGCCACGAGCAACAAACAAACAAGACGGGCGAAGAGTGGCGCGCGTACGATACAGCATTTCTTTCTTCCCAAACCCGTTCCCGCACCTGCTCGCATCCATGCACCACCTTGGCCACACCCGGCTCCTCAAGCAGGCTGCGGAGGTTAGCCAGCAGCGCAGCCACAAGCGCCTCGGGGCCCTCCCCAGCAGAACTTGCGGTGCAGTCCAGTACGTATACCGCAGGCGACCAGGCCTCAGGCAACCCGCCCACGGCACCGTCCGCTGGGGCCATCGCCATGGCGGAAGGGGCGTACAGCGACACGAGCGCTGGACGACCGTCGTACACCTGAACAGCCAGTCCGATCTGGGGGCATGCATGACAGTGCTGCAAGACGGCGAGAAAGTCCGAGGAATAGGGGTCCGCCAGGACGTGCACAGCGGTGTGTGGCAAGATGGGTGATCCGGAGGAGCCTTGCGGCTGCAGGGCCTGTTCAGCCACGAGTGCAGAGGCAGCAAAGTCCTGGATGCGCTGCGGCACGCCGCCTGCAGTGGGCCCTGCTGCCGCAGCCGCGGCGGCGATCTGCTCTTGTTGCTGCTGGGCCAGGCTCCTAGAGCCGCCACCGCTGTTACGGTGCCAAGATACAGGGCCGCTGTCGATAGGATGAGCGCTGAAGCCGTCAGCGCCCGGACCACCCACGCCGCTCAGGGAGGCAACGGAGGCGGAGCTGTGGATGGAGATGCGATCGTCGAAAAGCCGCGGAGGCACCCCGCCTCCAGCGCCGCTGGTCAGGTTGTGCTGTTGGGGAGGTATGCCTTGTTGCTGCTGCAGCAGTAGCAGCTGCTGCTCCTGCGATGCGTGCTGGCGAAGCTGCTGCTGGGGCGGCTGGGACAGCTGCCAAGGAGCCGCCCACCCCGCATTTGCGGCTGCGGCTTGGCGCCCTGGGTCGGCGGAAGAAGCCCCCAGCAACTGGATGTGCTGCTGAAAGCCCGTTACGTCCTGATCCGCCCGCGGCTGAAGCAGCAGCCGCTGAGACGGCGGCTGCAGGCGAAGCTGGGCGGCGGGGTGGATGAGAGCTGGGGCACGAGCTGCCACCGCAACCCCTGGGGGAAGCTGCAGCTGCGGACTGAGGGCAGGGTTGTGGGCCTGGAGTTGCAGCATGTTGTTCAGCTGTTGCTGCACTGATCCGGGGTGTTTCTGTGCATACATTTGCATAACTGGCGGCAACGCCTGTTGAGGCGGCTGTAGCATGGTCGGGCCTTTGCGCTCAGACTGCTCTTGGGCCATTTGTAGCAGGCGCGGACAGATGAGACGAACGACGTGCACGGTGGGGCTCTGCAGAGACAGGTGAACAAAGGGTTTAGGGTTTAGAAAGCGTCGACTTACAGTACAGAGAAAAGCACAGTGGCTATACAGCCTGTGGTATAAAACAGTAACAATAAGAGGCGGATCACACTCGCAGCTCGACTCACCTGTGACTGTACCGCAAAGACGTCGGGCTCCTCCAAGCACACCAGCCGCAGGTTACGGCCGATGCGCGCCCCGCCCAGCAGCTTGGGCACCTGCGCGCCTAGCTTGGCAAAGGTAAGCTGGTGCGGGGGCGGCGCCCAGGCCAACAGCCGCGCAATGCAACGCTTCGCAGCAGCAATGGTGGCCTGCTCGCTGTTCGCAAGAGTGCCCTGCGGCGGCGGGAAGCGACGCAGGAGCTCCTGCTCGAGCGGAGGGCTGCTGACGTCACCGGATGCGGAGCCCGCAGCGCTGTGGGCTGCTGCGCCGGAGAGGAGGGAGAGGCTGGCGGCGGAGACAGTTGAAAAGGCGGGTCCTACGGCAAAGGCTGCAGGAGTGGAGGGTGCAAAGGAAGCGAGGTCGCTACCAGGGTCCGACCCGCTGCCTGGGACACGGCTGCCGCTGGCCCCTGTTGCGGGGTCCTCGCGAGGCCAGTCCTGAAGGAGGACCTCCAGACGAAGCCGAAAGAATCCATCCTAGGAACGTGAGGGCAAAAAGGGTACACAGGAAAGATGTTTGAGCAGGGTTGTAACCGGTCGCAAAGAAAGCAGCGGTTGGTGTCAAGGCATCCGCAGGTGGTATGCCAGAAATAGAAGTATAGGGCCTCGCAAAGCACTGAACAAGCTAAACAAAGCCTAGTGGAACCCTCCATACTTACTTGGTCCTTCTTAAAGCTGACAATATAGCCCCCAGTACCGCCCGCAGCTCCACCTCCAGAGCCGGGAGGCGAAGGGTTCGTAGCCGCATCCGCCTCGCTCGTCCCACCTCCACCCGGGCCGCTTACTCCCGGCCCGCCACCGCCACCGCCGCCCGCTTCCCACGGCGCGCCTCCTCCCGCCCCGCCCACACTGGTATCGTCCAAGAGCTCCGAAAGCTTTCCCATGCCCGCGAGCGCGTCAAACGCCTCCTTGTCCCGCTTCCGGATGGCAGTGCCCAGCGCGCTGCCAAGCATGGTATAGGGACCTGCAGACGCAATTGAACGGCGATACACAAAAAAGGATGTCATGGTTGGTTGGGTACAACAACACCAGCGCTGGGGCAGTTTAATGTTCAGCCAGCAACACGTAACGGAACCTGTCTAGACACGCATACTACAACGAAATGGGCTAGCCAACTGCGCACTAGAATACGGACACGTAGCGATGCTAGAGTGCTGCATGGGAACGAACCCAACCAACCTGCGGGGCCGCGTGCAGCAAAGGCGAGTGTAAAGGCCGCTGCGCGGCGAATGCGCTCCAGCGGGGCATGTCCTGGCCACGCGGCGTTGATGGCAGTGGCCAGACCGGCGGCTGCGGCGCGCCTCAGCGCTGTTGGGTCGAGTGCGACCAAGCCAGCGGCCGCTCCCGGTCCGGGCATTTGCACGTCCAAGAAAACGCCCCTTGAATCCGGATGCATAACAAACGCCTTGAGCTTGGGCCACCTGCAACCACATACAAGCCACAGCTCTCACAGGTTGCGAGTGAGGACAGATCGTACATCATATCGCAGTCAGCAACGTCTAACCAACACTTAGCAAGCAGCTGCCGTTTCCGGAGCCAGTTAACCCTTCACGCAGCAGTACCTGTTTGATGGGTTCAGCCACAGGTGTGCCTGCGAGCTCGCGACGAATATGCCCAGGTGCGTCCACTGCTGTGACCGCCGCGGCAAGCCGGCCAAGTGGACCACAATGGCACGCCGCAGCTGAGCCGCGGGCGCGGAGCCCGGGAAAGCCCGCAGCGCCAATTCTGAAACGCCCTCGATTACCCCTGATCCGCCCGCTGCGGCGCCACCGCTTCCCTGCGAGAGCGCTGTCTGCGAGGCCATACCAGCCTCGCCAGAAATTGATCCATCTCCGGGCGACTTGCCGAGTAGTGATGTCTGGATGTCAGTATGAGCAGGCCCCTCGGCCGCGGTGCTGGCGCTGTTCGCGCATAATGATACCTGCCTGAGCGCATGTGACGGCGCCGCAAGCTGCTGCAGCTGCGTTGGCAAGGCAGCCCCTGTTGCAGGGCCGCACTTGCCGTAAACTTGCATGAGCGCTGGCAAGTCGAGAACAACGACGATGTCGTACTTGCCCTTGACGACGCGCAAAAATCCTGCGCCCTCGGTCGCGACATTTGCGGTCGCGCCGGCGGCATTGACGCTGCTGTTGAGATTCCCCGATGAACCCAGGCCTGGCAACGGCATTGCGGCGTCGCCTATGTGGCCTCCCTCGTGCAAAAGCTGTTTGACGCGGAGGGTTTTTGTAACAGGGTGGCGTAGTTCCGCCACCGCATCCGGCTCGTGTCTGTGAAGAACATCGCCAAGGGCCGACTGCAGGAGCAAGAGAGCAGGAGGATCGGGGCAAAATGAGTCGCGCGGGACTTGGAAAGCGAGGTGAAGAAGGAACAATCGCGGATAGCACGCTGCAATGGTCTTGTGATAGCAAGTGCATCGCTTACGCATATTGCAAACGAAGCTCATACATGGTAAATCAGTAAGCCGCTTCCTCAACCATGGTTCGTAGCAGTGAGAGTCATAGCCAGTCAAGTGCCTAAATGTATCGGGTCAACGCTTACCGCTAACATGGAGTAAGGCCCCTCCGGACCATCCTGCGCAGCGGCAAGGGCGAGCGCAGCCCTCCGCTTTAACCTGGCCAGAGCTCCCGTGCCAGGCCAGGCCGCCGCAATAGCGGCCAACACCGGCTGGGTCAATGAGTCCAGTTGATCACCGCCTTCCAGGCCAACACTTTGCACGCCAGTGAGGGAGCAGCTCCCTTGGCCGCTTGTAAGTGGTACACTGCTGTTAGTCATGAGGGAGGCTGCTGCGGTGAGGCTGCTGTCGGAGCTAAGGCTGACCTGTAGCCCTTCACCGGAGGCACGCGGGATGCCAAGTTGGAGCGCAGCGTCCATTGCAGCATCCCACGGCGATGAAGGAAGAGTAAGCAAGCCCGGACCGCCGCTGGCGCTGGAGCTGTCGTTAACGAACCGCCGAAGGGCTAGCTCGTCCAGGCATACAACTTCCTTGCCGTCCGCTGTGCTGATTGCGAAAATGCCACGGTTTTCCGGGCTGAGAAGCAGCACTCTTAGCTTTTGAAGCAATGCTCCTGGATTTTGCAGCAAAGTTGGCTCGAAACGAAGGACTTGGCCCGCGCTGGTCAACAGCGCATGGTACGGCCCTAAGACGGGAAACGGGCTGCTAGCCAGCCAAGAAGCAAACCTCCGACGCAGTCGACATAAGGGATCACCGGTCTCAGGAAACGCCGCATCAATTAGAGGCTGCAGCAATGCGGCTCCCTGGTTGAAGGAGGAGGCGTTTGTGGACGAAGCAGCCTGCATAGCTCCGGTAGCCAAGCTCGTCGTTGCAACCCCAGGAGCCACGACGGGCCTGTCCAGGCATTTCGAGTTCATCTCCGTCAGCCCTCAAAAACAGTAGAGAACCACCAGATCCTTCTGCCGGCTCTGGAACCAGATCACCATTAGGTTCACTCTGGTATGGCCAAAGCCCCTTCAAGGAGTCGCTAACTTGCGAGCCGTATGACCACTACTCAGGTAAGGCAAGACATAGTGCTGGCTATTGCGAGATTAAATATGTACAGTGCCAATGAAACAAAGGCGCGTTCCTATGGACAACGCGTATATCTGAAGGAAGGAAATAACGCGCCGGCCGTGTTTGACTTGATGTCCAGGCCTTTTGACACACGGTCCCTAGCAGATGTTCATTTGATAATTATTGTTATACTACAGCGACACAACTTCAGCATTTTGGGTCTGGACGTTCAAATTGCGGCTTTCGAGTACGAATGTACGAACTAGCCAAGGCCGATACTCCTCACGGAGTTCCGACTTGCAATTGTAGCCACCTATACTTCAAATCCGTACTGTTCCATGCAAAGCCAAGGCGTCGTTGGCCGCACGGCCCGCTTCCTAACTTGTCCGGTTCGTCTCAGGCTGGGTAACACCAAGCGTCACAAGAGTAACAACAAAATGCTTCAGGACTGCAACATTCGGTGTGCAGCTTCTGGCCTCAGTCTCTCTCATGCTCGTACCAACCAGCTTGTGGATGACGCTGTTGTTTGGGCGAACCAGCATGGCCTGGTAAGGTGGACTCTTACAGCAGACGGAGCAGGGGCTGAAATTTCAACTTAAGGTTTTGCCGGTTGGACAGTACCCTTTGGTTATCATGTGGTGGAGTGAGTGCTGCCAGCGAGTGCTGCCTTACCAACTTGTATGTCTCATTACCAAACCCGCATTCCCCATTCACGCACATAGTTTGGGGCTCTCGCTGGAATCCCGGCTTCATCCGGCCGCAGTCACACGGGTTTCTAGCATTATCACACCCGAGAAACATGTTGTGATGTTGCACGACAGGCAAAGACGCATACCCCATGTTAGGCCGCACACGCCTCCTTCCATACACAATACTGTCATGGATGCATCCTTCCCCCGTCACCTGCACCCCCGGCGCGGCTATCCTCCTGCTTCCATCCTTTGCTACCGGATTGATACCCCATGTATCCAACCCAGCGGCATGGGATGTACGGCAGCCCCCGGGATCAACCCCTTCATGCCATTTCCACAACCCCCGAAACCCAAGCTCACGCACTCATTGCCCCACCGTCACCGCCTCCTAGCCCCCAGGATACAAAGCACCCCCATCCAACACATCCCCCTCCCATGCACACACACGCCGCCCCAACATCTCCCCTTCACGCTCACTTCATTGTATGCTTTCGTTCTCCTTCCCCCCCTACCCAGCCTCTTCCTTCTTTGCCTCCCCCCGCCCCACCAACCGCTCTCCCCCACGCCTCAGGTGGTGGCCCTGAAGGACCCCGCCTTCGTCAACCCCGAGCTAGCTGTCATACACGCGCCGCTGGCGCTGACGCCCGTGCCGTACCCGCGCACCCGCTTCGAGCTAGCGCAGCAGGTGTGGGTCTTAGCTCGAAGTGTGTGCTAAGAAACATGGCCGCGAGAAGGGACGTACTGAAGGTGTGCGCGTTTATGTCTGCGTGTGTGGGCAGCCCCGGTCACCTTATCCCCCGGTCACCTGACCCTTCCCGTATACGCAATGCCTCACCTTTACTTGTTCTTCCCGCATTCCACATCCCGCCCCTCCTGCTCCCTTCCCGCTTCCCTCCCGCTCCTCCAACCCCTCTCGGGACACCAGGTCATGCCGCTCTTCAACTCCCTGATCGACGCGGTAGCCTCCGACGAGGCCTACCTGGAGACCGTGCTGCGCCCCGCAGCACAGCACGACGCCTTCACCGCGCGCCTGCTGCGCGTGCTGTGCGCCAGCCGGGGGCGGCGTGCTGCGCTGCGTGCTGCGGGGCGCGAGGTGGTGCTGGGGGTGCACCGCTCGGATTACATGCTGGACCAGCCCAGCGGGACGTTCCTGCAGGTGGGGGGGGGCATGCAGGTGGGAGGTGGGAGGTGGGGCATGCAGGTGGGAGGGGGGAGGTGGGGCATGCAGGTGGGAGGTGGGAGGGGGGGCATGCAGGTGGGAGGTGGGAGGGGGGGGGCATGCAGGTGGGAGGTGGGAGGGGGGGCATGCAGGTGGGAGGTGGGAGGGGGGGCATGCAGGTGGGAGGTGGGAGGGGGGGCATGCAGGTGGGAGGTGGGGGGTGGACATGCAGGTGGGGGTGATGCAGGTGGGTGGTAGTCACCCCAGCAGGTGGTTGGGTCACCCTGCAGGTGGGACATGTCACGTTGGAACGCTGATCGTGAGCTGACGGGTGGCAGGGGTGTGTGTGTCAATAGGACCATCACCCTACGGTTCGCGGTCGGTGAATGGCTCCCCGCGGCTCCGCTTCTTCCAACTTGAGTGCCTCTGCCTGCCTCCCCCCCCCCCTGTCCCCCATTGTTCTGCCCCAATTCGTGGTTTCCTCGTTGACCCCCACACACCCCCTCCGCAGGTCGAGCTCAACACCATCGCCTCCTCCTTCGGCTGCCTGTCCGCCCTCATGACCCGCCTGCACGCCTACATGGCCAGCAGGGCGGGGGGACTGGTGGGGACCGGGGGGCGGGGGAAGAGGGAAATACCCAATGTGTTGAATGAGAATGGCAAACAAGATGATAAGCTCCTGGGGGCGAGGGCGGGGGCCGGGGACGACGACCGGCCCCGGCCACACGACGACACACACACACACACGTGTCAAATCCTCGCTGCCACACCCGTGCTCCTTGCTCCACCACATCCGCTTAGCATCATCAGCAACAGCATCCCTTCCTTTCCTCCCTAACATGGAACGCCCTGTCTCTACATCTCCACGTCCCGCCCATCCGCCCTGCCCCGCCGCCGTCCCCTCCGCTTCCGCCGCCGCTGCCGCCGCCCCGCAGGACGCCTCCCGCCTGCCCGCCAACCCCGCGCTGGAACACATCCCGGACGCCCTGGCCGCCGCGGCGGCCGCCAGCGGTCACGTGGAGGCGGGCGGTGTGGTGGTGATGGTGGTGCAGCCGGGGGAGAGGAACGCGTACGACCAACAGGTGCGTGTGGTTGCTTGCATGGGGTGCGTCCTTGCATGAGGCCTGTGTTCGCATGCCTGCGTGGACAGGAGTTTAATTAATTTTTTATCCGATATCTATTTCTCCATATTGTTTTCATATGTATGTTTGTATCTATTGATCTTACGACTCCAACCCACCCGGGTTCCGCCCCCCCCCGTCCCCCCCCGCAGTGGATCCAGCTGCAGCTGTGGGAGCGGCACCGGCTGCGCACGCTGCGGCTCACGCTGGCGGACATTGCAGCGGGCGCGGTGGTTGATGAGGCCAGCGGCACCCTGAGGCTGGGGGGGGAGGAGGGGCAGCCGCCCGTGTGTGTGTTTTATTTCAGGTGCGGGTGGGAACGTGCGGGTTACTAGGGATACATATTCTGCATTAGGCTGGATTTTAGGATTGCGCATAGTCAAACTTTGATGGGTTAGTAGCAGCACACAAAGTACAAACCGTAATGAAGCTCCATAAGCTGGCGGCTGTGCTGAGATTATATTATTGGACAAATTTCTGACGAGCCGTTAGCTGGCGTCTGAGCTCCACTGCATTGCTGGGGGTGGGGACGTGAGGGGACGTGAGGGGAACGCGAGGAGACTCAGCTGGAAGGGGAGGGGCGTGCGTTGGGCCGCGTGTTGGTGCTAACCCGAGAGACTAAACACACCACCCTCCCCTTCCGCCGCTCCGCAAACCCTACCCAACCCCGCATGTTGCGGCAAGTGGCATGCTGCTTCGCCTCCCGCACGTGATGTGGCATGCTGTTACCCCCCCAGCGTCAACCCCCCAGCATGTCACCTACTTTGCCATTACCATGTCGTTTGCACCTTGGGTCTTCTTCTCCTCTCCCCCCAGGGCCGGCTACACGCCCAGCGACTACCCCAGCGAGGTCGAGTGGGCTGCCCGGGAGCTGATCGAGGCCAGCAACGCAGCCAAGTGCCCCACCGTGGCATACCAGCTAGCAGGTGGGGGGCAGAGGCGGGTGGGGGGGCGGGAAGGGAGGGGAGGATGGTTCAGGCAACCCGGCAACTCGATAGTCGCAAGATGGGTTGTTCTGCTACCGGTCATGCGGCTCTCATCATTAAGACCAGTTAACCTTTATTTCTAGTCTTTCAACTTGATAACCTTTTTCAAATACCGGTACCGCACGCCCCAACAGGCACTAAAAAGGTGCAGCAGGACCTGGCGGCCCCCGGCGTGTTGGAACGCTTCACGACCGACCCACGGGACGCTGCGCTGCTGCGGGAGTTCTTCGCGGGTCTCTGGTCGCTGGATCCGGTCGATCTGGCGGCGGACGGGGCGGCGGCGACGGCGGTGGCAGATGCGCTGCAGCGACCCGAGGCGTATGTGCTGAAACCGCAGCGTGAGGGTGGCGGCAACAACCTTTATGGTGGGTGCTTAATGGCCTGCAGGTCCTATCCATGTACGACGGTGTAGGACTATGTGCGATCGTGTACGACGATGTACAATTATGCAAAGACAGTGTACGACACTGTACGGCAAACTTTCGTTTTGTGACGGCTCCTCCCCTCCGCTGCAGGTGAGGAGCTCCGTGCCGCGTTGCAGGCGGGAGGCGAGCAGCTGAGCGCCTTCATCCTCATGCAGCGCATCCTGCCGCCGGTCAACAAGTAAGGGGGCAGGGAGGAGGAGCAGGTCCGGGGGGTCGGCGAGAGTCAGCATGCCTAAACCAAGAAAGAGTTTGGTTGAAAGTTTGGTGTAAATGAAAAGGGAGCCGGGGTTCTGAGAACCGAAACCAAACCGACACGAAGTTGGGGAGGTGGGGATAGAGCGCATCTTGCCGCCGGTCAACAGGAGTGGGGTCAACAGGTGAGAAAGGAACCCCATGTGGCCAGGCTGCACACCATGGTTGTGTTCCCCCCACAGCGGTGTAGGGGTCCAGGGGGCTGATGTTGGGGCCTACAGGCCTCCCACTACCTGCGCCAACTTACCCCCTGCGGCCGACCTCCGTCTGCAGGTCCGTGCTGGTCCGGAACGGGCGGTGGCAGGAGGCGGAGACGCTCAGCGAGCTGGGGATATACGGCACCTTCGTACGGCACGGCGATGAAGTGATCCTAAACAAGCAGGTGGGTAAAGCCACCAACAGCATATATGCACCTCGTGTGTCCTTGCCTGCCCTCCCCCCTTCATCCTGGTTTGGTCTTTCTTAAACCCCCCTCTTCCTGGTTTGGTCTCATTACCCCCCCCCCTTCTTCCTGGTTTTGCATGCCCTTCATGTGCCCTTGCCTTTCCCCCCCCCTCACTCCCTTTCCGCCCCAGAGCGGCCATCTGGTGCGCACCAAGACGTCCTCCTCCAACGAGGGAGGCGTGGCAGCAGGGTTCGCCGTACTGGACAGCCCCTACCTGGTGGATTAGGTGCGGCTAGGACTAGGGCTTGTACGACAGCGGTGTGATGGGCTGTAGCGCAAGAAGCATGTGAAGTAAAAGCTTGGCTTTTTATGAATTGAAGCAAAAAAAGCGCGTAGGAACGTGCGTGCTAAACATTAACCCGTTCCTAGCGAACGGTAACATGAGGTATCTTGATTCTTAATCTTGTATAATGTTCTTTCCCTTATGAACTTCTCTTGAACGAATGGGATTCACGAGGCCGAGCGGGATGCTTGCATGTCAGCTTTTGTTTCTTTTACAGCAGCTAGGTATAGGGGTGACGATGAGTGACACAATCCGCATCAAAGGGCGGCATCCCGTGATTGCGTGTGTGTGTTTATTGGGAATGTACGGACTCTACGAACGGCTGCTTTCTAGGTTTGGTGGAATGGGTCCCTGGGTCCCCCTGGGTCCTGGGCTCACACTTATGATGGAGTGGCACATGGATGCATGGCCGCTACAGGGGCTTGGTTCCCCTGAATCCCAAGGTCCTGGGCTCACACTTATGATGGAGTGGCACATGGATGCATGGCCGTTACGGTGGGTTAGTTCCCCTGCTTCCCAAGGGATACAGTGCTTCCCAACAGTGGACGAGAACATGCTGGCAGGGGCATGCCGCAGGCTGTGGGCGGGGCATGTGTTATAGAACCTGGCCGCGAGTAGGAACGTACTGGATGGTCGGAAGATGATGTCCCCACCAAAACGGTGGGGACCAAAACGGTGGTGATTTACAGTCACCGGCTGTGTGAGAGCGTGGCTTCTGGTGTTGTAATGAATTTGGCTGCCTGTAAAGGGAGTCCTGTTGAACTTGGGTCTATACAATTTGTCGCCGGTGAAGACGTCAAGAGGCCGCACGACGCACATGTTGCGTGTGGCCTCGCCACGCAGGGACCATTTAACCGGTGTGTGCTACTTGTGCTACTTGTGTTTGCTGCTTTGCCGCGTGCTGTTTCCGTTTGCCGATGGTCTCCCTCCCGTGTGCGTGCACGCACACCTTTCCCCGCCGATCCGCCATGCATGCATGCATCCACAGGCCCATGTCGACATGCGCGCTGCCCACAACCGAGGCCCCATCCCCGCTGTTTCGCCCATGAATCAAACACAAAGCCACCAACACCTCAACCACCCTTCTGCGCACGCCCCCCATACACACACGCCCTCCACCTCGCCCTCCACATGTATAGCCAAATCCCCAACCCAACAACAACCTCCATACCCCCCAGCCAACCCCCTTTCCATCCACAGATGAGGGTTTAAAGGTATGCGAAATAGAATCCAATCGAGTCCAATTTCCCTATTCCCACGCTACCTCCTCCCATCTCCCAATCCCACACTTCCCAGTTCCCATCCCTCACGGACTTCCCATCAGGCTGGCCGGTTCCACCACCGTTCCCCCGCTCGCCGCCCCACCACCCCCACCACCACTACCCCCGCCTGCCCCCGCCGCTCCCAGCCACGCCGGCCCGCCGGGCCCCGCCGCGCCTGCTGCTGCTGCTGTTGATGTGGGCCGGCGGCGCTTCACTGGCGAGGCCAGCTGCGGCCGCGGCTGCTGGTCCAAGTCAACCACAAATTCGGGAATCAGCACCTGCTGCTGCTGTGGCGGCTGCGGCTGCTGTTCCCTGCCAGGGGCAGCCCCTCTTGGCGGCCCGTCTCTCCTCGCCGCCTTTTCCTTCTCTTTCCTGGACTGCGCCTCCTCCTCCTCCGCAGCCACCTCCTGAAGCAGCATCGCCTCCAGCCGCTGCTCCACCTAACCATGAGGCGGGGGGCGGAGATAACTCAGCTTGGAGTTGATGGGGCCGGGCTAGGGGCGGACGGACGCCGTACGAAGCGATCATGTTAAGCAAGCGGTAATCCTCCTCCGCCTCACATCCCGCCCTCCTCCCCCCCACATGTTCACCGCTGTAAGGCAACATCCCCGCCACCTCTCTTTGCACACCCTCGCCAGTACACCCACACACCCTCATCCATCCGACCCTCCTCCGCCCTCCCCCCTCCCCCCTCCCTCCCGCTTGTCTAGCCCTCACTCACAGTTCGATACTTCTCTGCCCCCCCTCCTCCTCCTCCTCCTCCTCCCCCTCCTCTCCCTCACCTGCAGGAAGGTGGGTCGCTGCTCCGGCTTCTGCGCCCAGCACTCCGCCGCCAGCTGTCTCCAGCCGGCGGGGGTGCCGCGCGGGAAGGCGGGCCGGCTGCCCTGCGACACCACTCGGTGCACCACCTCGCCCGCGGTGAGACCGCTGTAGGGCCGGCAGCCGGTGTAGAGCTCCCACACTGGGGCCCGGGGATGGGAGGGAGGGCCGGGGGGAGGCGTGAGGGGCGGGGGAGGGAACTGACGTTGGGGGAAGGTGCGGGATGGGCGGGATGGCAGGGTAATGGAACGGTAAAATGCAAGGTTACCTCGCAACGGCGGCGTGGAGGGAGCGGCGGGAGGGGCGAGTGGGTGCGGATGGGGACCCCGGATAGCGCCGCCCCAATCCAACCTCAAACTCCGAGGACAACCCCAGGACCAGTCCCAAGGCAGTTACGGTACCAAAAACAATGTAAAGCCACTCAATGCCACCCAATGTCACCCAACGCAGTCACCCAACTGATGACTCCGAACGCGTAGAGGTCCGTGGCGAGCCGCAGCTGCCCGCCCGACAGGCTCTCCGGCGGCATGTGCGTCAGGGTACCCACGTTCTGGGGGGGGGCGGGGTGGGGGGGCAGGCGGGGGGGGGGGGCAGGTAGGGGGTGCGGGCATGGGGAGAGGAAGATGACCAAGTGGTGGCAAACACAGTTCTTCGGGGTGGGCTGGGGGCAGGAATGCCGGGCTTGCGGGGGTTCAGATGCGGCTGCGCATGCACGGGGAGCGTGAGAGGGACGAGAGGGACGTGAGGGAGCGACAGCACAGCGACTGCACCAGCCATCAAGGTGCTAGCTGTTAAACCTGGAACTGACGGCATGGTAGAGGACATCTAAACAGCCGCATCACCCACCTTGGTGGTCTGGTGGGTGCGCCCCGGATCCAGAGCGCGGCTCAAACCAAAGTCCGCCACCTTCGCCACGTAGCGGCAGCGACTGCTGCTGCTGCTGCTGCCTCCTGCAGTACCGCTGCTGTAGCTACCGCTGCCGGCAATGCCACCGGTATCGCCGTCAGCAGCAGTGGCTGCGGCTGTGGCTTCCTCCCCGGGTGCAACACCAGCAGCAACACCAGCACCAGCAGCAGCAGCGGAAGCGCCGGATGGTGGGGCCGTGCCGTCAGCGGTGGCAGGATCGGTGGAGGCAGCGGTGCTGGTAGGGCGAGTGCGCAGGAGTACGTTTTCCGCTTTCAGATCGCCATGTACGATGCCCTTGCTGTGAAGGTATGCCATGCCGCGACAGATGTCTCGGGCCAGGGAGATGATGGCGGGCTGGGTGGGAGAGGTGGTTGGAGCGGTTGGGATGACGGTTGGTGGGTAGTGGTTGCATGGTGGATTCGGATCGAGGGGAGGGAAATCAGGGAATACGAGAGAGCCCCCATTGGACGGCGAAAACACAAACGCTACATGAGGACAAGCAGGATATGGGCTCGGCAGGGGGGACAGCCCAAGTGCTAGCTGCCGTACAAGGCTGTCCCCTCAAAACACAGGCAGGCCACCATGCAAGGAAAGTACGGCACCCTCCACCCACCCACCATGTTTACTTGCTGTCGACCCACGCGCCCCCCGCCCATGCCTCCTCCTCTTCCCCCGGCGCCGTACGACTCCTGTTGTACGACAGTCGTGAACCTGCCGCCGTACAAGGCGGACGAGAGAGCGCCGCCGTCGCACAGCTCCTGGATGAGCCACGTCTGCGGGGCGTGCACGGGTGTGGGTGGAAGTCGTGTGGAGGTCGTGCGGAAGGTTTCATTATAACGTGCGCATGCACGCATGAATGCAGGGAGAGCGCCAACGAAGGCCACAACATCGAATGCATGAAAATCTTGTGGGATGGAGGTCCAGTAAAGTGACATGATTGATGACACCACACCGAACCCACCCGCCCGCGGACTACCCGCACCTCACCTCGTACACGTCCTGCGTCATGTTGCCCGGCGTTGCGAAGGGGTCCGCTGCGCTGCTGGTTGCACTGCCCTCCGTGCTCCCGGAGCGGCCCCGGCAGGCGCCAGCCTGGAAGTTAGGTAATGGGGGCGAGGTGACCCGTGTTGGTGACCCATGGGTCGGTAAGCATGGGCTTGGGACGTTGGGAAGCACGCTAGCTAGTTGATCACATGATAGGGGTGATGACACATGGGCCAGCGATTTATAGCCATTCCGGCCTCACCGCCTGTTGCAGTCGTGCCGCGGCGCCCGTGACGTCCAGCCGCACGAAATGCAGCGTTTCCACCACATTGGGGTGGCGGCAGGAGATGCTTACCTGTGCGGGGGGGAGGAGGGGGAAGGAGCAAGGAAGGGGTGGAGCAGAGGAGAACGTGAAAGTGGTGGAGAAAGGGATGTCAGGGGAAGGAGGAGAACCTTCGAACCCCAACCCAATTATTCCCCGCACTCTCTTGCCAAAGCGCAGCGTTGCACCTCGCTTCTCCTCGGGCTGAACTGCTCTTGACATCGACAGCCGCGGAGGCCACACACCGTCTACGTAACTAGCTATTAAGCCATCTATCTAGCTATCTAGCTACCTACCTATCTAGCTCCCTAGCTACCCGGCCGCACCTGCACCTCCCGCTCTATGACGGGCGTCTCATGTGGCCCATGGGTCAGTATCTTGACCGCGCAGGGCCGTGCTCGCCACACGCCGCTGTACACCCGACCGAAGGAGCCAGTGCCCAGAAGCACGCCTGCGGGAGGGTGGCGGGGGGCCGGGGGCCGGCGGGGGGTGGGGAAAGGAACGACCCGGCATGGGCGCACGGGCGCATGGCGCGATGGCTAGTAATCAAACAAGGGAACCCCTGCTGCTGCCCAGCAACACACCTGGGGTGTGACTGCTATATACATATCCGCGAATATACCTACAACCAATAGATTCAGTATCAATGTCACTAGCAATGCGCCTCCTACCTTGTTAACCCTGCCGCCCCCAGCCGCTCATCACCCCCGCTACTCACTCAGTCGGATGTCGGTGGGAGCGCTGAGCAGCCGCTGCTGCTCCAACAGCGCCCCCAACCCGCCACCGGCGCTGCGAGTGGTGGTGGCAGCGGCACCCGCAACCCCTGCTCCCGCTGCTGCACCCTTTGGGAGACCGGCACGGCCAGGTGCTGCTGCCGTACCCCCCGCGCTGGCAGACAGGGAGGAGGAGGCGTTGGTTCCGGAGGTGGCTGCTGCGATTGCATTGGATTCGGAGCTGCTGACAGCGCTGCTGGTGCGCATGCAGACCAGGCGGGTGCGGGGGCTGTGGAGGGTGGGGGGGGGGGAGAACAGTACCCAAGGTGTTGAATGAGGTGGAAAGAGGGAGGGTGGGAAGAGGAAACTAACGAGCTGTATGACAAGGGGTGAGGAGGTTGGGGAAGAAGAGGAGAAAGGAAGATGGTGGGGGAAGGATGAGAGAGAGAGAGCAGGTTGGTATTAACGACCTCATGTAGGGTGAGGCGGAGGGTAAGGTGGAATGTTGGGAGGGAGAGGGAGGCGGGATGGGGTGAGGAGGCTGGGGGTACAAAACAACACAATTTGGGACAGTAAATGGGAGCCATTACCGCATGACCTAGGAACAAAACGCCCCCCCCATAGCGGCAAGTCCTTTCCCCGCAAGCAAGGCCCAGTCCTCATCAGTCCTCACCCTTTCTCCGCCGCTTCAGTTGCACCCTGCGCCGCCTCCGGGTCACCTCCCGCCTTGCAGCCCGCCGAGCCCTGCATGCACGCGAGCATGCGACAGCAACAGGGCAGGCAGACGGACCCATGGGTC